AAGGCGGAAGGCCGGGCGTGCGCGTCGAAAGTTTGCCTGTCTCCGGAGGAGCAGCGTCCTTCAGGGCAGGTTGCGAAACGCGTTTTCCCTGCGTTTTATTTTTAGGTGGGAACAAGTGCTGCCCGTGCGCCGCTGTTTGCTAATGGGCTTAGGGATAGCGCTACAGCCACGGTACCTGAAAAGTGGGTACGGGTCCTTCTTCCAGCTCCTGGATACATAACCCCTTCCGTGCTTCTCGGGAAGCCTCGTCGGAACCGAGCTAAAAACGCCCCTGCCCGGCTGGTTCTCCACTTTCATTCCCGGCCTCTCCCCTACCCCCGCCAGACCTGACAGACTCTTCAATTTTCTGTTGGAGATGTAAGCGCTGAGCATTTTGGAGAGCTGCAAGTGGGCACGTTGCAGCTCTTGAGTGTCCAACTCGAAACAACTTTGTTGTATAATCAGTCATCAAGTAAGCAGAGAAGTACATGGGGAAATACAAGATGCCCAGCAGTAAGCTAGCTTCAGATCACAAGCTGCCTGTGACATGTTTTTAACCACATGTGAATATTCTTTCTATTAGGGATCCGATTTTATTATTTCAATACAGCTTCAGGTTGGTGTGACCAAGGGTGTGACAAGGTTGATTCAGTGTCTTGCTCGATATCTATAGACTCACTACTGGTATTTAGTAGCTTCTGTGCAACCATTATGCATTTTTCTACCTGTGTAAGTTGTCTCATTTTGTTGGATTTATGTTTTGCAAAGTTACGTTAAAGTTCCATATCCCGCTGGCTTTACTTCTCACCTGCGAGAAGGGATTTCTTTGAAGCCTATGTTTATCCTTGTTGCAGTAATCATTCCACATATCCCATTATCCTGCCAAAGTAATTCTCTTCCATAACTTGCCAACAGCTCTGTAGCTGGCCTTTTACTTCATGAGTACTAGGTGTCTTTGAAATGTATAAAAAGCATAGTGTTGTTACATGGTGGCCTATGCATGTAGGTGTGAAAGGATAGGAAGAGGAGTATCTTTTTTGTTTTTTTTTAACCTGGTTGTTAATGTAGGGTGAACTAAGTTTATATATATAAAGTATATATATGCAAAAGTTAGTTACTCATACTAATGTGCACACACATTATTATGTGTATAATGCACACACAACAGTGTGTGCATATGGTCTGGTAGCTGTGTGCGGTACTACTTTATTACGGTACATTTCTCAGTATATCTGGAAGAAATTATTGAATGCTCTTCAGAAGAAAACCATCTTTTTGTGTAAATAATCACTCTTGTACACTTTTGTACAGTGTATGGAAAATCTTTTTCACTTGCTGCATACGGGTGATATTCTTGCTAAGTGCAAAAATGCATCCCTAGCAGTCTTGGTGCGCTTCAAGATACACATGACAAAGAGTGTAATCTAGAAAATGTTTTCTGGTTTGCAAAAGCTAGGCCACAGTGCAGCATGATTATGGACACTGCTTTGTGTGAGGAAAGCTTGAATCAAAACTCTGCAGCTAAGGTTTTTGGTATTCAGACAGGTGACTCTTGGCAGTCCAAGATTAGGTATTGACTCTTGTGTCAGATTATATGTGAAGGTGTTGGTGTTCAAACCTATTGTGATCAGAAGGAATGAGAACAAACTCAGCAGGTATTGTTAGAGCATAATTCTTTAGGTATGATTTAGCCTAGATAGGTTTGGCTTTCCAGATGTAGCCTGAAGAATCGCTGTCAGTGTTAGATTAAACAAGAGTAGTTACAAAATATCATCTAGTATTTTGGGGGTACTTTGTGCATTTTTTGCACAGTGCAAATAAGCTCTGGCCCGTCACCAACTTCCTTATCAACTGCTCTAAGCAGTTCAGAGCCCACTGGTGCAGTTACTAAGCATGTGGAAAAGTTGGGTGCTGAACTGTATTCTGCAAGAACTTGACCTTAAGGATGAAGCACGGAAAATGCTACTATTTGTTACTGATAGACAACAAGTGGACCTGTCTGAATGGAGTTCCTACAGCTGGCAAGTGCTGTTCCCTTTCTGCTGTCATGTAACTTTGATAGATCCCTAGAGGAGGGCTGTATGTGAACCAGCGTAGGGTAACTTGCTAACGGTGCTATGCAGAAATATCAGAAACATATTTGGGCACCTAATGACTTTAGCAAAACTGCTGAAGACGGTTGCTAAGTTTGACTGTTGACCAGCAGTGAGCAACTTGCAACTGATGATCAGTAGTTAACTTAGCGTGACTGTGGCACACTACTCATGCCAAAGAACAGCAGTGGCATTGAAGAGATCATAAATACCAACTCTGAATTGCATGTCTATCTTGTCACTGGAAACTGTTGGCGTGCTGGCTCTGCAGGCAGTTGGTCAACCGCTTCAGTCCTTTAGAGCCTTAATTTATAAAAGACTGTTTTCACTATGTTTACGTCTTAAAACCAGGCAGAACAGTTGTGCTTGAAATCACAGAAGCAACATCAATTATGCATTGTTTCTGCAGCACTAGTTTGAAAATCCACATTTGTTCTTTGCGTCATACATAGACAACTTACCATTATAATACAGCACCTGTTCTGTCAGTCTGTCCTTGTGATATGTCACAGACAAATATATACATCCTTTGAGCAGATATCAGTAGTGCATTTTTTTTCCCCAAAAAAATAGTTGTATGCTAAACCTTAACGGTAGTTAATTGCTACATATAAATGGCACAGTACTTCTATTTACCTTTCTGTTGCTGTGGACATTTTATGCGATATAATATGGTGATGGATGTTGACAGGGAATATGCGGTATTTAGTTCTGTGAGCTTGTCAGTGAAAATTTATCCTGATAACAAGTACAAGCTGTACCAGGATCAGTTTTAAGGTTGGGCAAACTAGGCAGATGTGTATGGGAGCAAACTGCTAAGCTTGACAAAAGTCATGGCCATAAAGTACACAAGAGACGCTCTGGCCGTGGCTCTGTGCTTGCCCTGTGCAGAGCAGCCTCTCTGAGCACCCTCTTTGTGGAGCACCTCTCTAGTTATTGTTCTGCTTCCTACATAGTCAGCCTGCTACGTGACCGCCTCCTTCTCTCTTCTACTGCTGCTGGGAAGACGAGCACTGCCACAAAAGCGTGGGTTTTTTCCCATGCCAATAACGAGGACAAAATAAGGTTTTTATCCTCATTTTTGTGAGTGACAAATTTCAATTCTCCATATGCTTCTGAGACTGTGTCAGCTCTGACTGTTTATTACAACCCTGCCAAACATTACATGTTTTTCATAAATTTAGTGAATGGGTAGATGGCTTATGCAACTGAAGGTGTTTTTTCTTAATAAATTTGTGCAGTATAGAAAAAGCCTTAATGCGGATAACGTACTGTGTTTCTGAGCTGGAGGCCTATGCTCCCTCCTGGAAGTAGACTTTCATCAATATCCAGTGTTTTGTGTACATATAAACAATTAAAAAACAAAGTTTGAGGAGCTAGGAAACTTTAAATTTGTAGACTTTCCAGATTTGATAGCTTTATGTAATACTAAAAGAAAAGACTTTCTAAACCAAAATTCTATGCATTTGATTTTGAAAAGCTTTTATATTGGTTTACTTTCATTATTATCAGATTAAATGCAAATAACTAGTGTGTAGCTTCCCCCCCTCCATTAAATCTGCAGCTTTAAAAATAAAAGCAGTTTGTGGCTTGTGAGCTTTACTTAACTGATTTCAGTGCATGCTTGAAAAATTTTACTTAAAGTCTCCTAATACCATGCATTACTCTACAGACAGACCTAAGATCTGGCCTTACAGAACCTCAAAAGGTTTTTTTTATAGTCCTATAGGTTGTCCCATGTGTGAGAACTTGAACATGATCTCATAACTTGAAACTTGTTCTTTCCAGCAGAATTTCCCTGCAGCCACTGAGTCTTTTTGCAGATGTAGGGGCTTGTTTTCATGCAACTCATGGCTGCTGTAGGCCCTCTGTTTATGGAAAGTAATTTTCTAGGCAGCAAACATTAACTTTGTCTCAAATTCTTCTCCCTGCAGGAAGCTGCACAAGCATTGATTTATGCTGGGATGGCAGGGTCCAACTTGGAAAATATTCAAGAAAAAATAAATGAGTACTTGGAGAGAGTTCAAGCTCTCCATTCAGCAGGTGGGTAAGGAGCTTTCTAATTAAACCTCTGCTTAAATTAATTGAGTGGAAAGCCTTTCAGTGCTTGTGAAATATGTATCAATGATGTTTGCTCTGTTTTTCATTATTCTAATTTTCTTGTCCTTTGTGAAGGACCACAAATACAATGAACACATCAGTGTCTTGAATTCTGAAATGCATCAGAAATGGAGCGGAGACTTACTTCCTAAGGACTTGGGTGTTGGTATTCTTTCCTTTTAAATATTCTTAGGAACCACACCTGCAGAGCAAACCTGAGAAATTAATTAAATATAGCAATAAAAATTGATCAGGAACAAATCAAAAGTCACATCTAAGCCTCAGCTGCATGATGGATTTGAAGCAAGTGGGTTCTGGTATTTCTGTAGAATTACTAATTTTGAGAGGGCAAAAGAGCTCTTTGCTCTCATAAGGGTTTCCTTGTTTGATCCAGTTTCAGTGTTTGTGCTTAGACCAAAACCTCAAATTTTTGCACACCTGCAATTCTCAGTTAAAATCACAGAATCACTTGGCCAAAAAAGGACCTTGGGAGGTCTATAGACCAATCTCCTGCTCAAAGCAGGGTAGACATTGGTTTTTGAACGAGGTTGTTCAGGTGCAGTTAGGTCCTGAAAACACCTGAGGACAGAAATTCCCCAGTGCCTCTGGGCCCCTGTTCCAGGGTGCAATTGTCTTTCTAGTGATTTTTTTTTTTTTAATATATATTTAGTTGGATTCTCCCCTGTTTCAATTCATAGCCACTGGCTCTCATTCCCTTTCTTTGCACTGCAGTGAAGAGCCTGAATCCATTTTCTTGATAACCTCGCAGTTACTGGCAGGTTGCTATTAGAGAAGGCTTTGGCCCCCCAAGGCCATCTCTCCTCCTGGTTGGACAAGCCCTGCTCCCTCAGCTGCTTCTCAAAAGGCCAAGTCCTCCAGCCCCAACCATCATTAGGGACCTGAGATTGGATGCGGTATTCCAGATACAGTCTACTGAGTGCCGAGTAGAGGGTGGTAATTGCTTCCCCCCATCTCCTGGCTGTGCTTCTGCTGACACAGCCCAGGGTGCTGTTCGCCTTCATCGCTGGCTCAGGCTTACCCAGCTGTCCCCCAGGCCCTTCTCCGCAGAGCTGTACCCTGCAGGGTGTTAGTCTGTCCCAGACACAGGGCACAGCATTTGTCCTGGTTGAATTTCCCAAGGTTCCTGTCAGCCTGTTACTTTAGCTTGTCTGTGTCCCTTTGAATAGCAGCTGTGTCCTTGAGTGAATCGATTTGGTGGGGTCTGCAGCCTTGATGAAGGTGCACTCCATCTTCTCCTTCAGGTCATTAATAAATGTAGTAAATGAGATAGACACCTAAGGAACTTATATATTGCCATAGGTGATGTGTTTTCACAAATGATGCAATATTTTACATAATTAAACATCCTTGTCCTTAGTGTAGTATGAAAGAGATTTTATTTACATTATTTGACATGTGAAATATCCTGAGAGTGTATCTCTGCTTCAGGGGGTGGTGGTGTTTTCTTGTCCTTGCAAAGATGTTTTTAGCAAAGTTTAGAAAGTTTTGGTTTCCAGCCAAAAAAATAGATATTACTCATCTGATTAGAACTGCTAGTGTTTCAGTACCATGTTAAGGATGTTTTTACATGTCTGCTGCTGTAGAAAGCTAAATACTTTCTCTTTCATTTAGTCCAGTTGCAGAACACAGACCCTCTGAAGTCAAAACAACAGTTGGACTTGGAGCGTGCTCACTTCCTAGTTACACAGGCTTTTGATGAAGATGATAAAGGCAATGCAGAAGAAGCTATAGAGTTGTACACAGAAGCGGTGGAACTCTGTTTGAAAACAGTATGTTAAGCTACAGGTTAACTTGGTGGAATTATGTGATGGTAAGAAATTCTTCCACTTACACAAGTGACTGACCCTTAAAGGCTGGCTTAAAAATGGAGTACCTGTATTTCTAAAAAAAATGGTTTTTAATCTTTTTTTCACTGTGTTTTTTTTAGTATTTCTTCTAGTCTTTATGTTACGTTGCTATTCAACACTGTAAATTTATGGGGACTTGTGATTTATGTGTTTTTCCTGAACTGGATTATACTAAAAACTAGAAATATTCTGGAACTTTTTTCATGTTAATTTTTGCCCTGGAGTGAATGCAACACTAAAACAGAAATTAAAAACAGTTAAAACTGACGATGGCTTGCTAATGTGTCAGGTATGTTACTTTCTGACTACATTAAAGGAAGTAATTTAAAGGAAATTTTTGTGTGTAACACTTTCTGAAAACATAATGGCCTACTGATGCCAAAACTAGTAAAAATACTACTTGATTACTCAGTGCTCAACTTTAAAGCTGTTACAGGGGAATTCAATTCACACTGAAATTAATGGTAAGGATGAATTGGCCATTACATAAATGATGGAGAATATAATTACAGGTACTGCTTTTTTCCCTTAAGTCCAGTTGCCTTAACTAACTCATTACAGGAAGAGCTCACCATCATAATGTAACTCCACCAAGTCTGTTTTTCTTTTATCCTTCTCTTCCCTTTTTATAATTAAAATATGTGTGGGTTGTTGGGAGGGGAATGTTCCTTTTGCTACATGCTAGAGTAAAATCTTCTTTTCTCTGAATTCTATAAACTGGTTTTATGTAGGTTAAAAAACCCTGGTGATACAGCGTAACCAGATGAAGAGTTAGTAGAACTGCTCTAGTTTTTCCACTTGAGCTGTTGGAGCAGAACGTCTTCAGTCTGTTACATAAAACTTACTGCGGTGGCATACTGTTTTTCCTCTGCTGTGTTCATCCTTCTGTTGTGTCAGTGCATGCAAATATTACTTGAATATATCGAAGTTAGTCTGAAATTATCTCTCATAAACAACTGCTTTTATCGGGTATTTCATTAGGTACAGATACTGCTGAAGTTTCTTTTAATTTTGACTAGCATATTATTTTGTTGAGATGACTGTAGGCTTTGTCCCTCAGGGTGATCAAAAAGTACCTTCTTCCCAGGATGAAAGAAGATTGAAGGAATTCTGCTATCTTGAAGCTTTACTTCTGTCTTTCTCCTCAGTATATTCAGGTGGAGAGATTTGTTTCTTCCTTACCCTTGAAGTACTCAAAGAGCAGCCATTCTTCCTCTTCTATGGCTGACTCCTAGATGAGTGTGCTGGTGTTCCACCTCCACACTGCTTACCTTCATACATCTTTCAAAGTCTTTTCCAACCAGGAACTCTGAGTGTAATTTATTTGCAATTGAAAACAGTTGCTTATAGAGGATGTTTCTAGTTTTGTTTCTTGGGGTGAAAGTAGCTTGCCTTTTGTTTCCTCAGTTGACCTAGCTGACCTGAGAGAATCGGTCAAGGTACAAAGCTAGAACCTGAAACCTGCTTGTGGGTGTCACAGGAGAAGCCACACCTCATGTTGTGCCTCTTGCAGAGTGTTTAGCTGCAGTAGCCATGTTTCATCTGTAAGGAAAACAAAAGGGTAAACTGTCATAGCTGACCTCCCAACTGGGAACAGAAGTTAGCACTCTTGATATCTGTTTTGGTGCCCTGGCATAGATTATTTTATGCCTTAGATGTGCAAGAATAAGATTTTTAACTTGCAAGCAATCTTGTTTGTTTGTATTTTATGAAAGTAAACATTCAAAATTTTTTTTCCTAAGTTACCGTGATTATTTTTGACTCATTTGGGGAGAAGAATTGGAACACATCTAAGCTCCGTAGTATATGTAACATTTGTTTTTGTCTTCTTTCTGCCCATAGTCTTTTAATATGGTTAATTCTTCTGGCAAACTTTTTGTGTATACAGTGTTTCCCATGGTGAAGAATTTTAAATATCACTTCCGTTCCATGAACATTCACTAGAACAGCAAAATGATATTCGCTTGCTTAGTACACTTTTTATGCTGAGATTTTAAAAAAAAACATATTTGCTCATTTCAAAAGAGAATTGGAAAAAATAGCTAGTTACTGCTTGCTGTAATCTATAAGTGTGGAATTTGATAAACTGAGCTTATAAAACCTGCGGGTGTTTGGATGTGTAACTTTTTCTTTTATTTTGCACTTAAGGCTACTGAAACTTCAGAAGCAGGCCTCCAGTCAAAACTGAAACAGCTGGCTCGACAAGCACTGGATAGGTGAGTATTGCTAATGTTAGTAAACATACTTGCTGTCAGGTCTAAGTGCACTCTCCGAGTTGGATTCTCAATCTAGCGTGTCTGTTCTGTACTGCAAAGAGTATGGATTCTGGGCAGACCTAGCTCCTGTAGAGTTCTCCTGGCAGATACCGCTGAATATAGCAGCTGTTGTGCCAACCCTCTGGGAATCTTGGGACATGCAGAATTAGGAAAGGACTGTGTATTTGTTAGTACCAATGCACTACTTCAGTCTTCAGAGATATAAATCAGAGTACTCTACTACAGTTTTTATATATCTAAAAATGCTGAATTCAGGTCAGCACGAAGTCAGGGTGTCGGCCTCCCTTCATAAGGAAGACAGCTTGGAAACTGGGAAATACTTACCTTGACAGTAGCAATCTAGTTGTATGGGTAGATCTAGCGGAGTGGAGTCTGTATCTGAAACAAGTTACACAAGTGTAAGTTCAATGTAATTCTTTTTAAATCGACTGTATGATGGCGAATAACAGACTATGTTGGGCTAAGTTTCAGTATAAGCTGGTTTTCAGCACTTCTCAGTCTCTGTTCAAAAAAAACCCCATATTTTGCATATGTGTGACTATCCAGCAGCTTAATGCAACAACAACAAAATACAGCTCCTGAATACACAGTCTTCAAGCAGTTGAAATGCTGGGTTATGAGAATGGTAGTGGGTTTTTACTGCTATTGTAGCTGCTAGACAAATTAAATCCTGAAGGTATGAGAGGATGCAAATCAGTTTTCTCTCTCTGTGTTTCAGTGGCCTTGTTCTGAGGTTCCAGATAATGAACACTTACATAAATTCTCCTATTAGCATAATTGAAGGCAACAAAAATCTAACAAGTTCTGCCAAAAGTAGCTTATATATGAATTGGAAATGCTATATTTTAGTTGATTCTAGAACAGGAAAATAAAGAAGTACTGACATCAGAGATTGATTTTTCTTAGGAAAAGTGCTATTGGTCAACTTGGGCATTTGTTCATTCCATTTAACATATGTGGGAACGTGAACCAAGCAAATAAATAATTGAACCATAACTATATTTTTATCAGTTGTAAACAAAATGCATTTTTATTTGTTTTAGAGCAGAGGCACTGAAGGAATCTGTGTCAAAGTCATCTCAGAAGGAGAAGTCAACTGCAGCTAAACCAAATCAGCCAGTCAGAACATTCTTTCCATTGGGACCTGATTTTTCTTTAAATGATAAGCCACAGACAATCAGAGCAGTACAAGCTAGTGAACCTCAAGGTCAGAGGTACACTGCAGAGGAGATTGAAGTACTCAGGTAAGTTGAAGACAAGTTTTTCCAAAATGTTATCATTTGTGCTCACATCCTTTGTGCATCTTACACAGTAGATTGAAACAGCTGAAGCATGAGGCGTACATCCTTTGTGCATCTTACACAGTAGATTACGCCTCATGCTTCAGCTGTTTCATAAACAGAGGTTGGAAAACCACCTCTTACAAACCTCATTGGTGGTATTACCTACACATTAATAAATTCTTGTATTCTCTATGGTAATGTAATTAGTGGCTTTTTTTCACAGACTGTATTTTCTAGAGTGTATTTAGAAGACCATTTCTTGTAACTGACTGCCAGGATTGTTTTTCATAGCCTTATTTTTGTACGTTACACATAACCTACCTGACTGAGATCATGAAAGATCTGTCTCTGAGATGCCAAGGTACAAAGATGTTTTTATAGATTATACAACTACTACTTCACTGGAAATTGAGAAAGCATAATATTTTGTAGGACTGTGACTTCGGTTGCATCCAGTACCTTTTGCTTTGATTTTTATTATAGGTGGAATAAGCTACAAATAATCCATAAAACCTTTAGCCTAAATCATGAATTTTGAAAACTATCAAATATATCTTTAAAAAAATAAATGCATTGTCTCATAGGTGTTTCAGCCTACCTTCTCCTCCCCATGCAATAAAAAAGATTGTGACAGAGGTGATGCTCAACACTGTCCAGGCTTTGGTTGTAAAACATTTAGTCTGCTTGTTGACTTTAGGGGACTTAAATGGACTGAGGATGTGGTCGTGAAGATAGAATGTACGTGTGTTTCAAAAGTTGCAGAGCATTAAGAATTGCCTTACTAAAATTTCACTTTTTTCCTCTTGTAGTGCCTATGCAGTGAATGGTTCTGGTTTTGTGGATTGTTTGAGTGGTTTTTGAGGGGGTTTTTTGTGTTGGTTTTGGTTTGGGGGGTTTTTTTTGTTTTTGTTTGGTTTTTTTGTTTAAGTCTTGCAAGAGAACTTCAGGTTGTTTCACATCTTTAATGGTCATTTGATTTAAAAAAAAATTACATAACTTTTTCAGTTAACTCCTTGTTTGAAACTTAAATTACATTCACATTTAAATATGATTTTCATTTTTTTAGAAAGTGTTCTGTGCGCTTTAGTCAAAAATGTACTAATACACATGTGCAGTATTTTTGTTACTGTTTGGCAAAGTGTTCCAAAACACTGCCCCAATTGGATGAAATCTAAGTGTTGCTAATTGTTAATTGTTGTCAACTTATTCTAAGAGTCTCTTTAATGAGAGGCTTAAGTGACTTGAGAAATTCTATTTAGACAGATGTAGTTTTAAATGTGACTTCTAGAACTATGAAGAATTTTGTGGCTGATAATCATTTCTATCCTGGCATGGTGACTTGTCCGCAGGTCAAGTCTTGCAGGATTAGTGACTGAGCCATCAAGCACTGCACATTTCAAACCCAAATAAATACAGCGGTGGTTTCATTTTCAAGAGGTATTTGTCTTATTTTCAGAAGCACTGTATCTTGTTAGTTTTTAAAAACTAATTTTGTTGTTACCTTCTGGAACTTAGTCTTTGAAAGATGATAGATAGGTTTGTAACTATTTTTTTTTTTCTTATGACTTGCAGGAAGACTTCAAAAATTAATGGCATTGAATATGTACCTTTCATGAGCGTTGATCTGAGGGAACGTTTTGCTTTCCCTATGCCATTTTCGTAAGTGTGATTCAATTACTGAACTTTTGTTTTTATTTCCAAAGCTTCCCCATATTTGGTATTTCTATGTTTTCTTTTTCAGAGTTTAAAATTGTTTAAGTAGGCTTTTAAGCATAATTCAGGCAGAGATATAGAAATACTACCACTTCCTTTTTCCAGTCTGATCTTAAAACTGTTTAATGTAAGCTGATCCTGCTCTGCAGTGCTTTTGCATTTATGTCTTCAGGCCTATAAGAATAACACTGTATTTGGCTTTTTGGAGTTTTGGGCTGGGCTGGCAACTTGGGTCCGTTTCCTGATTCTGCTGCATGCTAACGAGTTTAGCTCCCTCTGCCTCAGTTACCTGTAAAATGAAGGTGGTAGCCATTTCCTCTGTAAAGGACTATTTCGAGGAAGAGTGATATGTAACTGCTAGACCTTCATTCATGAGCAATAATAATATGTTAAGATTACATAGCCATAATAGACAAAGACGCCTGGGGTTGGTTTGGGTTTGTCATTTGTTTGGGGTTTTTGTTGTTCAATCTTCTGCTATAGGCTTGTCAATCAGACAAGCCTCAATATTTTCAGAACTGAAGAAACTTTTTATTATTAGTTCATCATACTGAAATAAAGTGAAGAATTTGAGTTCTGCTGGTGTAGATGGCTTTTTGGAATTTCCTTCTCCTGTTTAGTCCTGTATGAAGGAAGCTCTTGGGTTTTATTTCATGTTTTTAATATTTTTGCTTTTTTTCCCTAAGAATCACAAACTTAGCAGTAGTGTTCTTTGAAATTGTTTTACAGCTCTGTATACAAAACTGTGTAACCGTTTTGTGCATATTTTGCACCATCTATCAGACACATAGAAGACTGGACATACCATGAATAGCTGTTATAAACTGATACTGATTTATTTCTACTTTTTTCTCTCTTAAACCTAGTGATAGATGTGGGAAGTTACCATTATCCCCCAAACAGAAAGCAATGTTTGCCAAGTGGGTGCGACCAGATGACATAACAAATAACCCCACGATGATTTATACTGTATCAAGTTTCAGCATAAAGCAGGTAAATTGTTCCTAAAGAGAAATGTGTGCTGCTAGCAGTTTATTGCAGGGGATATAAGACCTTCTTGTTCAAAAAGGAATCCCCAAATGTGAGAGTGCTTTCCTCAGCTCCTGTGAAATTAAATAAATAGTATCACTTCAGATTCCATGCAGAATAAACAGGTGTGTTAGCGGTGGAAAATCAGAATTTGAATTCCAGCTGAAAATCCTGTTTTCCAGAAATAGTGGTAAGGTTACTATGAAAAAAGGCAAGGTGTACTCTGCAGCAAATAGTTCACTTCATTTACTGCATGGGAAAAATAACGGGCAAGAGTTTCAATTTTTTATTTGACAGGAAGCAGAGTGGCCCATTGAGAATAGTGGAAATGTCTTGTTTAGTGTGAAGTTGCAGATGGCCCAAGCTGTTCCGAAATCAGCAATAGATTATGCCATAGGCTATGGTTTATATTACACAGTTTTTTTGGGGGAGGAGGGAGTGAGTGAATGCTGAGGTATCTGCATTTGGCTCTGATTGTCATAAATAATTCTAACTCTGGTTTGCTCTGTAGGGGCCTCGTGTTGAGCAAGCATACATTTCCTGCCTTTTAGGTAGTAACTTTGCTTCTCTTGGTTCAAATCTTTCCCTTTTGAAGGGAATTACTAACTGATGATTTTCTTTCCATCCACACACCCCGTTTGTCTTTCAGTATGTAAGTTCTTAGTAAATGTCCTCACTGGTTTTCTTTTCTTTATAGACAATAGTGTCAGATTGTTCTTTCGTGGCATCACTAGCTATCAGTGCAGCATATGAAAGAAGATATAACAAAAAATTGATCACAAGGTAAGTAGCCGTTGCTTTCTAAGATCTTTTCAGACTTAATACTGCCAAGATTCTGCAATATGTTCTATGACAGTTGGACACAGTAAAAACTAGCATTTGTTTCGCCTTCATCTCCCTGGGACTCATGTGGCTTCAGCACTTCTGAGAGGGAAGCTAACTTTACATAGATATGTATACAGACACTGGAGTCTTAACTTCAGATGTGCTTTGAGGAGGAATAAATAGTTCAGAAGGTTTTGTTTGGTTTTTAATAGAAATTTTACTTACAGTGCTTTATAGGTTTATTTTCCTACTTTGCTATGCCAACTGCTGTGCAACAGGTGGTCCATCTTGCATCTCATTGTAGAATTAACGTTATCAATACTATCTCAGTTCCAGTCGACTGGCGTCCTGTGACAAATATGGCGCAGTTTGGCAGAATCTGCCGGGAGCCTGTTGCCAGACCAGTGTGTGAATGTTGTTCCTGGATTTTTTTTGTATTAACCTATACTCGTTAGAACTGAACTTGTATTCTTTTCAAGAGCAGTGAGTTCTGCACTGTCTTCTCCTTCTTCAAATGTTTGACTTGTCATTCAAGCAAATATTGTATTTATACTACAGATACGTAAATACCATTTGTTTAATAGTAAGATAAATTTGTTTGCCTTGCTTCTGTTGGAGAAACAGGTTACTTATGCTCTTTTTATTACTGTGTTAAGCAGAGAACTGCAGCAAGAGCAAGGCCTGAAAAATAAAACCTATTTAAATATAATTTGTCATTTTTACTAAATTTGAGTTGCTCTTTCATTAAAAATTCCATATTTATGTTCAGTGTAAATTCCAGAAACAGACTATGTTAATCCCACTTTTATTGTTATCAGTGTATGTACAGTCAAGTCATTTATGTCACAATTTCCTCCTCTTTTTTTCTTTTTTTAACAGTATAATTTACCCTCAGAACAAGAAAGGAGAACCAGAATATAATCCATGTGGCAAATACATGGTGAAGCTTCATATCAATGGTGTACCTAGGAAGGTAAATGGTTTTGGGGAGACTTAGTAGTGTTACTGCTTAAGTCATATATTTTAAAGGCTTGGTCTGCTTCACTGTGAAGCTATGCTTGCATAGCAAAAACTTTAGATAGATTTTGTTGGAATGGTTTTTAAAATTGTTAAAACTTTTAAGGTTCATTTTGTTTGTGAAGTATGTAACAGAATGTAGGTATTTCTTCTGCAGACATTCATGAAAATAGCCTTACATTAAATTCATTAAAAATCCTTATATTGCTTAGAAGAAATATGAAAACCATAAAGGAACAAAATTATGCATCCCATATTTATGAATAGGGTGTGCAAGTAATCCGCTTTTCCCTCCATCTTAGAAAGGAAGTTACAGAACTAAAAAGTACAGAGGGGGACATCCAGGAAGAGTATTGACATGGAATGACCGTAGAGGAGTAACTCAAATGACCACAGATTTTTAGTAAGGAGAGGAGATGCCTGAAGATATATGATAGAACCTCGTAAACACACAAGCAACTTCATTTTCTTTTCAGTGCAATAAATAAGGGCATAAAATAATGCATTTCTTCATATAATACTTGACTGTAGCACTGATTATTGCAGATCATAGTGACTGATGAATGTTTATGGGAGTTCAGAAGTTGAGTGGTCGTATTCGCGGGGCAGGGGAGTAAGGGGAAAGTCCTCAAAGGCTATTAATTGCTAAGATATAACCTCTGGGTCAGGAAGTACTTGAGTTGCAAAATTTTGGAATCTGAATGTTTCAGGGAAGTATCATTTATGTGCTTGCCTTGCTCTTAATACTCTTTCCAAAATATCTCCTAATGGCTGCCTTTTGTTAGGATGAATGGCCATTTGCTCTTCTATGAAAAGGATTATTCATTCCTGCACAGGCAGGATTTGACCAGAAAATGTGCTGTGTTGGTAGCCCGTATTGGTAACGGACTAATGCCAACGTGAAACTGAAACATCTGTTCTGGGAAACTGTTTCAGACCACTACAAATACCACAGTAACAATCTGTAATAATACCGAATATATTCTACCTAATTTAAAGAAGAAATGTTGATACTTTCACAACTGCTGCTTTGGGTTTTTTTTTCCTTTCCAGAGAGAAGAAATTTAAATCTGAATTAGAGACCATGAAAGTGATGTGACACATAGTTCATTTCCTTATAGATAAATAACTGTTTATTTTTCTGCTGGCTACCAAGCACAGTCCATGCTCTGTTTCCTAATTAGGTGTGGGATATTGCTAGGCTTTTCTTTCCTTTTTCTAATGCTGTTAATTACATTGAACTTCTCTGTGGCTACCTTTTTCAATAGGTATTAGACACTTTACAAGAGCATACTGTCATCATCCCCATTTTACACAGGGGAAAGCGAGGCAGGTGATCACAGGTCACCCAGTGGACCAGTGCAAGTAAGAGCTGGCAACAGAATTTCTTGTTCACTTGGGCGAACCACTACAGGATTGATAGAGGTGTCCACATCTGAGAGCGACGGTCAGATCTGGCTGTCTGAGAAGCTGTATATTAATCAGAGTTTGGTTTTATTTTTTTAAATACTTCCAAAATACTTTATTATCTTCATGATGATTTTTCATTTGTTTATTTCACACAGGTAATCATAGATGACCAGTTACCTGTTGATCATAATGGGGAACTTCTCTGCTCTTACTCTAACAATAAGAATGAATTATGGGTATCGCTAATAGAAAAGGCTTACATGAAGGTCATGGGAGGATATGATTTTCCTGGATCAAATTCTGTAAGTACTAGATTATTTCGAAGAGGCAAAAATTCCACTTAGATTATCTTGGGTCAAATAACTTTCCTTCTAGTGAAATAAATGAATTGCTTGGGGAGGCAAGTATTGGGTTTGACGTTTTCTTAATTTTTTTTTCTATTTCTTTCTTTCACAAATACGCTTAGCTGTACTTGATGAGATTTATTCCATCAAAATAGAATGAGCAAGACATCTTGATGGGCAGAGTTAATCTTAGTTCTCTGACTGCAGGATTGGCACTTATAGTTGGGAAGTATATGTGTTTATATAGAGCCTAGATGGAAGTGTTGGGTAAAGTCATAATTTTTTTGCCCATATCAATACTGCTGATTTTGGTTTCTTACTGTCATTCAATAAATAGGACAGTTCTCCCTCATTAGGTAGGGGAGTCAGCTAGAAAAGGAACAAGCTAGTCATTTAGTACATGTCTATAGAGGGAGCCAAGTACTTTGATCTGTGAAAGTTTGTTTATCAGATTGTTCCACTCATTTACATAAATATGTAATGGGTTCCTATAATGTGGTTACTAAAGAAACAGTCATCGTACTGCAGCTAGGCTGACATGCAAATTATTCTTTTAAAGAGGGACGGTTTACTGAAATGAGTAGCCCGCATAATCTTCACTCGTTACTTAGGAAGCACTTCTGATTTTAATTTAAAATTTTTTAAAATTTTAACAGTGTATTTTTGATTTCATGGTGCTGCTCACATTCTAGTTGGTGTCTCGATAATTGCATTCTTGGAGAGTATACTAGGTAATCATCACCTTTTGAAAAATTATTATGGAGACAAATGTGGCTTTGTATAAGGGGTTAATTGTAGCATACGTTTTTGTGTACGTTTATGTCAGTGTTGGGCTGCTTTGTTTTGGAGGACAGAAGCTGGTGAGAATAGCTGCGTTTTATTCCCATTGTCGTCCTCTAACTTGCTATCTGGAAAAACAGCTTGACTTGCGACATTTAATCTTCACCCTTCCTGTCCCCTCTGTTTTCAACTGTATTATAGCTTCTTTGTACAATCAGGGTTACTTACTGGCTGTGTTGTACTGTAATTCCTCAAGTTCCCACCCACCAGTGCTGGTTATTGACACTTCAAGCATTTATAGTCTCTGCTTTTGCTTTGAGGAGTAAAAAGCAAAAGAAAAAGGAATAAGCAATGATTCAAGGAGATGAAATGGGGAGATTAAAGCGTCTTTTTATGGAAATATATGTCAGTGTCAGCTTTACCAAAAAGAATAAAAAACCCAAACCCTGAGCCTTAGAAGTAAAACATAAATTATTTAAAATGCATATATAATAGCAAGGTTCCAAATATTGCTTCTGAGACTGTGCTTTAAAAGTCTGTGAATCAACGAAATAAATAGAACACATCATAGAATTGAGCACGATTGATCATTCTCTTATGCTTCCATTGCTCTGAAATTCCAGCTTGTTTCATCAGTTCACTTTCCAGCATTTTTTTTTTTTTTTAGAGGCTATTTGGAAATGGAAATGTTGTTCTAAACTAATAAAATAAGTTTTTATTTGGTTGGGGTTTTTTTAATATAGTCTTAATCTTGAGTCTTTTATGTGTAGGAATATATTGTAACTTGTGTATACTTGATTTCTTTCAAGGCGCCTTTATAATTTGTGTACAGACATCATATGCTTACAGATGGATTATCTATTCTGATTTCTTTTGAATGCTTGCATTTCAGAATATTGATCTCCATGCACTGACTGGTTGGATACCTGAAAGAATTGCTATGCACTCTGACAATCAAGCTTTCAATAAAGATAGTACTTTCAGAATGCTTTATCAGAGGTAGAAGTTTGTTCTTTCCTAAGTAATTAAAATGTTTGCTGTGTAGTAGCTGCGTTACCACTGTCAACGCAGTACAGTCACCACAGATCCTTCGATAGCATTTTGGTACTACTACAAATTATGCTTTATAAAACCTCCATATGCTTTCTGGAAGAAGAAGAATTGAGGTATCGGTGGCTTTGATAGAACAGAAGAGTAAAATATTGTGGAATTTTGTTTGAGGTGATTTTTCTTCTTTACATATGAAGAGAAAAAATAGTAGCCCACTTCCTGATGAAGAAAATAGAATACAGAGTCAGAGAAGAGCAGCTTGGAACCAATATACAAGTTAAAAGTGTTTAAAGAGTAGAAGGAAATGTGTTCTGTGTTCCCACACAGTTCCTCAGAACTTTGGCATTGATCTGCTGTCCTTAGCAAGCAGATATAATATAGTATTTCTAATCATATCACAAGATCTTGGTTATTATGCCCCATTAGTAAATCTCCTGGAGGAGCAGCAAAAGTCTATCAAAACTGCAATACTGATCTTCAGACCTACCATAACAATTCTACTTATGGTGAAAGATATAGCTGTAATTTATAAATGTCAGCTAGCAAGTACTTTGATTTCTTTCAAAACGGCCTTGTGTGACCAGTTTCTTATGCATTTCAGTGCAGTAGAAGGGGGATATTCTGTTGACTGAAACATCTGCATTCATGATAAAAGAGCGTGACTTTCTGCAGGGCTCTTTCAGTTGGTTAGGAGCTCTCAGCTGATGGTCAACAACTCTTCAGATATTCCGGCGTTGCCATTTGGAGGTGTGACTGCAATTAGGATGGGATCTAGCCATTATAGCATCACTGTTGTTCACCAGTGCTAGACCGAAAATGTGTTGATCCATAGTCCAGTGACCCTGTAAACTGTCTAGGGATGCTGGGTATGTACTTGCATTTTAGCGTGAGCTGGGAAGCATGCTAGTGTGTTTTCACAACAATAATTGTTGCAAAATTAACAATTGCAATTCAGAACAATTGCAGAACTCAGTTGTTGTGAGTTGGCAATTCAGACCCTGTAAGGCCCTTGCTGGGGGACACAAAACTTCAGTGTAAACACCTGCAAAAGTATAGAAGCATGAATTCTTAAGGTTTTGGGAAGCTCCTTCAGAATCCTGGGGGTGTGACAGAGTTGTTAATTTGCTATATACAGTGATTGGCTACGTGTTGATGAAACCACATTTGTGTTCAGCTGAAGATCTGTGAAGAGTAGCTTTAAAAAGTGTCACAGATTGAACTTCAGGTTGATAAATGCTGAGTTTTTATTTATAGAAAATATGAAATTATATGAAAATAGTAATTTTTCACTTAAAGCCTATACTTAAATACTGAAAGAAAATGGTTCCACTTTCTCAAGCTTTTTCAGGAGTGATTTCTGCTGACAAAAAAAAAGTATTCCATTTTTTATAAAGCAGGGTCACGCTAACGGACAGTGTAAAAACATACTATTACAGTGTCTGGCAAATGTTAGTTTGCAACTTGCAAGATTTTAATTAAGCTGTTTTTCACCTCTTTTTGAACAGATTTCACAAGGGAGATGTCCTTATCACAACAGCAACAGGGGTGATGTCTGAAGAGGAAGGAGAAAAATGGGGTTTAGTTCCAACCCATGCATATGCAGTCCTGGATATAAGAGAATATAAGGTATCAAGTAAAACTGAAGATGTTTTCAGATGCCTGTTTGAAACCTGTCTGCGATGGTTAGCTACTGATTTTTTGCTCTGATGGCTAATAGAGTTTATTTTGTCTTGAGCTCCGTTGGGAAATTCCAAAAAGCTTAATGATGCTGTATTTTCTTGAGCTATTGGTCCATATTGCATGTTAATATAAATATAAAAATTACCTTGACAAGATGAATCCAACAATTTTATTTTTTATTTCTTTAGGGACTTCGATTTCTTCAGTTGAAAAATCCCTGGAGCCACTTACGTTGGAAGGGACGATACAGTGAAAATGACACAAGAAACTGGACCCCAGACTTACAAAAATACTTGAACTTTGATCCAAGAACAGCTCAGAAAATAGACAATGGTAATAAGGCTTAAAAAGCCACTGTCTTTTCAGATAATGTAGGTCTTTGTGGTGTATCCCTGCAGGAAGGTGGAAAGAAATGCTGAAGCACAAGGAGAGGGAGAGTAAAACAAATACTAGAAACTAAATAGCCCAAAGGTTTAGGAAGTATTTGTGTATTTAAATCCATCGTTTCAGGTTTGTCTGGGGTTTTAAGTAATCTGGACTGTTTAATATATCTCAGATTCATTGACAAGAAATTACCTCCCTGCTTAAGTGTTGCTATCTCAGTATCTGGGTGCGGGGGAGTTCAGTGCAAAGGTAAGATTCTGACAATAAGCTGTGTAATGCTGCTTTTTAATATGTGAATAGACTTTTTGTGGGTTTTTTCCTCCAACATTTGCAAATGTGTATCAACATGCTTACTGTAATCAGTATTTAAATTAGTCTCGCCTGTATTTGAGGTTATGCACTGGAGGAAAGTGGGGTTTTTTTTCCCTTGCATGACATTTATATATCTGTAAACAAATCTTTACATACACTCTATTTCCAGCTGTAAGAATAGATTGAGATCCGTCTTTGAGACAGTGGTATTACTATGTCACTGTCCAGGGAAACCACTTGGAATGATGCCCAGTGTTGTCCCGTCCCATCTTCCCTAGGGAGCAGCAGAGTGTAGCATCTGGAAAGTCGCTGTGGGTTTGCTGGTGGAAGGGCAGGTTGCTGACGGTTTAGAAATTCTGCAGAAGCTGCATTTTTCATTCAGAAAGAGATGTCTGCTCTTCTTATAGTATCCTAGTTGCTGTCTGTCTATATCTGCTGTGAGGGAGCCCTTTTGTTTAGTGCCACTCTATTTTGACAACAGTATGCATCCAAACCTATTAAATTATAGCATTTATTGATAAGCCTCGTGCAAACACATAATGAAAACTTTTAATTTAAATATAAGAATAGCAGCCCTGGCTTTGTTACAGTTATGAGGGATTAGCTTATTATTTATTTACCGATTCATTTAGTAAGGAATTTGTATCTGTAACATCTAGTAGTTAAAATTTATATAAAATTACATTAATAATTTTAAGGGAGTTGTTTCTTCTGACTGGGTTTACACTCTGGTCTTGTTGTCTATGTGTGTAGCTATTATGCCTGCTTTTTTTTTTTTTTTTTTTTTTTTTTTTTTTTTTTTTTTTTTTTTTTTTTTTTTTTTTTTTTTTGTGCTGCAAGATCTGCAACTGCCTATGTCAGAGACTTGAATTATAAGGCTGTTACCTTTTTGAGAGTTCATTTCATCAGGAATCTGTCAGCTTGCAGGCATTGTTGTTGGCTGGAGTTGCAATTAAGGGAGCTATGGAGAATTAGAATAAATGCATGAGAATGTTGTAAAGATGAAGCTGATTCAGGGTGCCAAAGCAAGTCACGTAGGTGTTGGATGAAGTATCTTAGAAATACATTCAAACATACTCACGTGTTGACTGAATACTTGGTTGTGCTGGATGACTACTGAAGTAGGTTGTTGAATTGGGGGAACCTGTTTGACTCTGTAATTCCCACCACCCCCCCAACCCCCCCCCGAAACCTAGGAGGGGGGAGGTGGGTCAGAATCACCTAATGATGTCTCTTTCAATACAACAGATTCTCTCATACTTTCTGCTTAGTGCTTGATAACGAAAAGCGTTCTGACAGCTTCAGAAAGTCCTTGATTATAAGCAGAGACTAAGTTGTTTCTCTTGGTTTAGCTTGTTTGTTTTGGGGGTTAAGTCTGAATTTAGGAATTTGGGCAATGCAGATGTTACTACTAAGTTTTACAGATATGTTGGTTTATATAAGCTATATCATTTGCCTGGAAAGAGACTTTTGAAAAACAAGTAAAATCAGGTGTCTGGTAAGGAAACAATAACAGCATTTCCTTTTTAGGCATTTTCTGGATTGCCTGGGAGGACCTGTGCCAGTACTATGATGTTATTTATTTGAGTTGGAACCCAAGTCTTTTTAAAGAATCTACATGTATTCACAGGTTGGTCCAAGAGAGAAAATTTTTGTGTCGATATCTGACTAAATGTTCTGATGTGGTGTTTCCTTCCTTCCATTCTTCCTAGTTACAGCTGAAGAGGTTGAACTCCAACCGTGCTCTCTTGAGCCTGACTTTACACTTCTAAATTCTCAGCCCAGGCTTTGTTTTTGACTACTTCTCTAACATTGTTGAAACTCCAGTGACCTTTGTGATGTTGCTGTGGACCTAAGGTTGTGTAACCAGATTCTGACCTCAGTCCCACATCTCTCTATCAGAACAGAAATCAGATTTTTGTGCAGTCCATCTTTAAGCAGTGACCAGTCAGTGCTTCAGTGACCTAGTTTTTATTTGGAATTCATTTTCCTGGCCAGTTGCAAGTCATTTCTGCAGAGCCTGTTGTCTTAGAGGGTGTGTTCACTGATGTCAGAGTAGTTTAATTCCATTTCTCACCAGTTGTGTAGTTATCGTTAAGTCGTCTTCCTTGCCTGCTGACTTTTTTCTGAACATGATACCTGTCTCCTACCTAGTATCCATCACATTCAGTCTTTTTGTCACCCAGTTTGAGGATAAGCGTGTGTCTCAGTTTCAGAAAGCACTTTGCCACTGCTTCCACACTGTTTCTGTGCATGTTAGCTCTGCACAAGCTCCTTCATCCATAGTGCAACTGCTGAGCTTATCTGTAACGGCTCCTTCCATCTTCACCACAGTGTATTTTAGAATTAATTTGAACATGATGTAGCAAGATGAGGTAATGTGTATGCTAATCTCAAAGCTCATCTACTAGTCTGTCTTTCCTTATATTAGTGATTGTTGTAACCCCTGTGTAGGGAAATGCCTAGCACAGTGGCAATTGCCACAAAAAGCGGAGTAATGATGGTGATAACTTGAAGCTTAGTTGATAACGTGGCCTTTCACACATGCCGTTCAGTTTTAAGTGTGGGAGGGTCAATGGGACTTATGAGTAGTTTTATCCACTTCAGCTCCCCGCATGCCACGCTTTGCATTCAGTCATCAGCACTTCTTGTTTTTTCATACCTTATTTTCCTTGCCTAGACAGTTCACGAGGCAGCAGGCAGATTTTGCAATAGGGTACCTCACATATTATTTTTTTTTTTTTTTTTTTAACACTTCATGCAGGCACTCTTCCAAACATAAAACAGATCAAATTTTAAAAGAAAAATTACCCAAATAAAAAACTGGAGGGAAAAATTTAGCAAGCTTTTGGAACTCACCATAGCTTACATACGGAGTCTTACAGTTAGAAAAGCATCGGTGTTTTTCCCTTCATAATAAATGCGGTGTGTGCAATCATTACAATAATTGGCTAGCCTGGGCTCCCTGAAGGGCTCAGCTTTTTCTGTGCTTTGTGTGGTTGCAGTCACCATAGCAAACAGCCAATCTGTTTGTATTTAGCGCTTTTTTGTTACCGCACTTGTATTGTAGTGAAGTCATTTATAAAACAAAACTGTAAGAGAATGCTTTTGACACTAGTGCATTACGTAACTACTGTCATAGCTTCCTGCAGAAAATTAGCCTTCGGTAATTTTGTTACTGCTGATGGGCAGCTCTGTGTATATGTAGGATTTGGAGTTAGTTTTCAAAGCACAAAATAGCATCTTGCTCATCTCATAACGTCTCTGTATTACTTTCAGCACTTGGGACGCAAAGCAAGGTCCGGTGAAGGATGCCTACAGCCTGGCCAATAATCCTCAGTACAAGCTAGAGGTCCAGTGTCCACAAGGCGGTGCTGCCGTCTGGGTTCTGCTTAGCAGGCACATCACAGATAAGGTGCCGGGTTCTTTTCCTGTATTACGAGTTCTGCAACGTCTTCCGTAAATCTTTCTGCATAGCTTTCTGTTATTAGTATATTACTGCTTACGTTTTCGTGTTCAGGTATGTGTGCCTATGGATATGTGTAAATTTTAAATTCAGCAGGTACACGTACCTACAAACAAGATTGTTGAAACAGACCCAGAGTAAAAATTGAGCTAAGTGATTATATTCCACCATAAAGGTTCTGAAGTAACTTTGAATCCTGGGGCCTGAACTGTTAGAAGTGAAATTAGTGGCAGTTTATTTACTTCAGGTATTTTGAAAAGAATTGGATGGGGTATCTCAATAAATACAAATATCAGATCATAACGTGTGGTGATCGAAGGGGATGATAGAACGCCTGCTTGGTTCTGATTAAGCATTAGTTACGTTCCACAGAAGTGTACAACTCTACTTGATTTGTGTTTTTTATAGGATGACTTTGCACACAATCGGGAATTCATTACAATGGTTGTATACAAGACTGACGGCAGAAAAGTTTACTATCCAGGTTAGTGTACCTTAATTGTCAAGAAGATGATGTTAGAAATAAATGAAGAATTGCAAAGGATATTGTGGAGAGGAAAGGCACAGTTTGCTTTAAAACTAGATGCCTCGCTCTAAGAGGTCCATCTTCTGAAATAGTTGTTTAGCCCTGTTTGACCACCTTCAGCAGTCTACGCTGAAGGAACAAACTGAGCTGCACATGTCAGAAGCACACTAAGAGGTCTATGTAGTCCTGCTGACACTTACTTTGGCACAGCATTTTCTTTATTATTCTGTTTATTTTGCAGTGGCAGCAGTTAATGCTTAGAGGGAACAGGTGTTGTGCTTCTGTTTACCTGATAGCACAATTATTTCCCACATTTGTGAAATTATTTAAAGGTTTATGGCTTCCACTAAATGAAAATAATCAAGGTTAATTGTTTATGAACTTGGCTTAGTAAAGTACCTAAGCAAGCTCATGAGATACAGCTGAACACTTGAACATATTTCAAAGTACCAGGTATGGAATGTTTAAGAAAAATATTTAGATGTTCAAATTTTATCAGAGTATTACTCTTGGTCATTATAGGTCAGATTCTACTCACCTTGGCTTTTGGAGCTTTGTTGTAGCTGCGAAAAAGCCATGTGTGTTTATTTCAAGACAGATAGCAGATCTGAAACACAGGTTGAGACACGGGAAGTAAAGGTAAGGCCCAGGTTGAATGGATAGGGTAGACTGCAACTTTAAGGTATGGCTAATAGTGTCATATTTTTATTTCTTCTTCACATCAAGTTAGAGGTCTCAGTGTAAAAATATTCCTTGGGAGAATTCAGTGAAGGTGCCTCCTAGGACAGGTCGGACTCGGCCTGTTGCTTTTACAGATAGGGAACCTCTTTAGAACCAGGGTTGCATTCAGGTAGCTGCTCATGCAACAGATAATAGCAACAGTTAATTAGAGAGTAGCTCTTAAAGCTCTTTTCAACCAAGAGTGGAATTCATGGGGTTTTTTATATTGGAACGGCTGGTAAGGGTTGCATTGTTCATCTCTGGTCTTGTTCAGTGAACTCTGCCATCCAATTCCCTTAGAATCCAAGCTGTCTTTCTGTGGAAAGCATCTGTTGAGACCTGACCAAATCATCATCTGTTTTGCAAGAGCTGATCTTGTTAAAGCATCTGCTTCTCCTTACAGCCCAAGACATGCTTCTGGTGTTTCTAGTACTTGTAGCAGTGCTTATTTTACATGTCTGTCTTACTGAAAACATTCTTAACTGGGCAAACCAAACACATTTGTATAGTGGAGGGAATTGTTCGGTTGTGCTTGAAAGAGAGTCTTCCAGCAAGACCACTAGCAAGAACTGGATGATTCATATGTTTTGTCCCGCTACCCAAACTCTTTTATAAACTTTAATCTCACGAGCTCAAACTCGTTTAAAACCTTTTTCCATGGAAATAGATTGGTCAAGCTGCAGTATTATTTTTACCATCTGTTAAAATAAGATCCATACAAAGCAGGTTAATCCCTTGGCACTGAGGCCGGGATTTCCCATTCCTAAGCTGCTCATTGTTTTATATTAATCCTTTCCCCTCTCCCATGTTGCTTTGTGGAAGAAAATAAAAGGACCTGATCCTGGGTTTATTGAAGTAGTTGGCTAGACTTGGTCCTGCTTTGCTGAAATTAAAAGAAGTCTGGAAAGAACCAATTAGAGGCCAAATAACAAATTACATTGTCTAATTGTAAAAGCAAGTATTTGGGATGTTTATAATAAGTACCGCATGCACATTGGTACTGGGATGCAACTACATCTGTGTAATGATCACAAGGATTTGGAGAGAGAGAGACAAAGTGTGTGTCAGTTAAAGAAATTAACATGTTTTAAAGTCTTGTTTACCCAGTGGCCAAAGATTTTGGCAGCTTGCATTCTGGAACTGTCCAGCCAATAGAGAAAGAACAGACTCCTCAGATTTTGAGAGTGCTCAAACATTCCTTATCTTTCTCTTTAAGTTTCAACATAATCACAGTAGGTCTCCTTTGAATAGTGACATTGGTGGGAGATGGATAAGCAGTACTTGCAAGTCATGGGATTTACGCCGTACTTTCAAGTGCAGAATTTGTGTCCTGTCATGTGTGATGTACCTCTCCTGAAAATAATAGTTGCTCTTAAGCAACTGTTCTTTTTATGAGCAAATCTTGAGGCTCTGTTCTTTTGAGAGCACTCAAGTCTGCTTACAGTCTAACCTTAGTACCAACAGTCTGACTTTCCTGGCAAAATTCACTGATATAAAATGGCTAAGAAGTTTACCAAGCCGGGGGATTTTTTGATCCTGGAAAAGTGTTCATCCTTTTCTTTTTCAGCTGATCCTTCTCCTTATATCGATGGTATTCGGATCAACAGTCCTCATTACCTGACCAAGATAAAGCTGACCTCTCCAGGGTCCCATACGTTTACCTTGGTGGTGTCCCAGTATGAGAAACAAAACACTATCCATTACACCATCAGGGTATGTAGTGTTGATTTCATAATGAATGTAAACAATTAAGCTATAAAGTGTCCTTCATTTGCAAGTTTGAGAAAAAAGTGTACTTCTGGATCGATATTGTTATTTTTGGGGAGGGAGGCTATGAATGATGGAGCAGAACCACTGGATGAAGTGCTTGATAATGTTCTCTATTGTAGTTAAGACAATATAGTGTGTGTGGTTTTAGTAATGAAATTTAGTAATGAAATCAGCTGAAAAATACTTCTAGTTCTTAGACTAAAAAATTAACATCTGTGTACAGGCAGAGCATTGGCTCTCTGTGTATCCAAAATAAGTGTATTTTAGATCCCAGTTAAGATTTAAAGTTTTTTGACTTCTCTAAGTCCTTGGACTTAGTATTTGGGTTTTTCTGTTAACTGCTGAGTCATGTGATGATCAGTGCTACATGTCTCTTTTTGACACCGAAAAAAGTAAAATGCAGATTGTTTCCGTTTTTCTTTCATAAAAATTAAGTCTTGTTAGTCCCAGCACTATCCTGGATTTTGAGTTTCAGATGGGGTCGTCTGATGAGTAATATAGGCATGTAGTGAACAAGTATCTAAAAATGATGTGTAGGCAATTCTGCTTTTTTTTTAATGTGTCGTGATTTCATATGAAAAGTGCAAGATGGATGTGTGATCAGCTTCTTCTTTTACAACACAGGTGTATTCCTTGTGCAAGTTCACCTTTTCCAAGATTCCTACACCTTACACCGTTTCCAAACGGGTAAAGCACTATTTTCTTTTATGGGTCACTGGATAATAACTTTGGCTTTTCCATATTTGAGATGTACAAGGTTTTTAAATACATTTTTATACTACTGCCCAAAAATGTCAGCTTAGGCCATCTTTTAACAAATGAAACTTCTTAACTAAAGCTTAATCTAAACATCATTAGCACAAGACCAATCCTGTACTCAAGTTACATATAATTTGCCAAACAATTAGCTGCACTGTTAGCATCATTCATACCAACATAGAACTCCCTGGGCTGACTCACGCTGTTCACACCACTCTGGATGGATGGTGGCTTAACTTTCACTGGCATTTGGTATATAAGCTCCACCTCTGTTGCAGAGTGTGTTGTTACAGCTGTACCATTGCAGATATACTGCAAAGCCTTTGTAGAACAGACTGGCCTTTAGAATAACAACCTGTACCCTAACATGTAATTACTCTGCAGAGATCAGGTTGTGCTAGTACTACTGCAGAGTAAAAACCCTGCAAGAGCGTTGCTCACTTTCCCTTAGGAGAATTGCATAATTTTCTTGGAAAAACTCTTGGCACGATGGGACAAAGTCAGCAATGGCAAACCAAAGGCACCAGTAGCAAGACTGTGACAAACGGACTTAGGATGGCAATATCACAATACATTAATATGTTCCTAAATTTTGCAAAGACATCCCAAAGGTCTGTAACCACTGGGATAAGCACTCACATTGCCGAACAGGGTCAAGGCAATATACCCATGGCACATTTCATGTAGAAATGCATAGCATAGCTGGGGCAAGAGCAAAAAACTTGACTGAAATTAGGTCAGAAGCTCAGGCAGTCTTGGGGCCAGCTGCTGTTCGTTTTTCAGCTGTCAACATGAGCTGCAGTTACACCTTCAGCTGAAGTATAAATACAGCCAAGAGCTCACAGGGTAAAGTAATGTGCATGTATTTTCATGTATTAGCAATTTTATCCTCAAGAAAGAATAAGCCAGCAGCTGTTAACTTTAATCTCTGTACCTACCATGCATATCCTGGGGAATCCTACTACAGGCAGAAGTCTTCTGTCCAAACAGTAACTTCTTCTGGAGGAGAGAAACAAGGCTAGTTTGAGCCACAGTGGAACAGTCTATTTTTTAGAACGCTCATGCCTGAAGCCAAGGATTACATTACTTTGTGTGGTCAGGGGGACATGTTGGCTAGGCTCTTGAGTTCAGACAGTGTTTCGTACCAACTGTTATTTCTGGAACAGCCCCTTGAAGCTAGCCTGTTCTGGAGAACGGTAAGTGGCTAGAGAGAGTCCTGGGAACAGCGAGACAATTTGCTTGGTTCTTCCAGAAACCATTGTTCTTTTTAGCTCTTAAAAACTGGGCTCAGTTTGGGGGAAATGCTTTAGGAGGTCAAAAACTCATTGAAGGTGACCAGCCTGTTTGAGGCAGGACATCTGTTTTATGTTGTATTATGTTTCAAAAGAAAATTAAGTATGTGGAAACCTCCCGTTAATTATTTGAAGATGTCTGTCTCGTATTCAAATAAAAGGCGCGTTCTATCTATCCAAGGCCAGCTCTGTCTCTCTGATTAAATACAAGAAGTTAGTTGCCTGTGCTTAATGCTTATTTGGTGCTTGCTTAGCAGTCATCATGCTTAAAAACAAGCAGATAACTAATTCACAGTTTACCAGTAAAAGCAAGTTCTGTTAGATATCTTCTTTTATACTAAAGTTGAGTGGTCACCTCTGGAGCTCACCAAGCCCTGGGGGGATTCCTGGAACTAAGTGCAGCAGAGGTGGAAAAGCCCTGGAAAGCTAACAGCACACAGCAGTTTTAGGTTCCTGGGTAGTAGTATGGCAGGGGGAGAAATCCCCTTTGCTTCCAAACTCGCCATATTTGAGGTTTTTGGACACTGAGTAAAAAGAAATTAAATCACAAGAAAAAAATGTTGCTCCTTGCTGATTTGACAGAAAGGGGAGGGAAGTAACAGGAGAAATGGATCTCGGCTATAAATTTGTGTGAATGCCTGGCGTGTCTTACAAATCTAACCTTTCGGTTTAATGGCTAGGAGGAGGAACTTGCAAACAGATGGGCTGTTTCTCAAAATCTGAGCAGCATTTTTCCTCCTGTATGTCTTTGTCCTTGCAGAATCTGTCCTTACGGATATCTTGTCCCTGTAATGCCGGTTCTCGGAGTGCGTAGAGGTGAATGGACAATGCTGGCGGAAGCGATTTCAAAAGGAAAGGTTACAACACAAGTAGTGTTGTACTTCCTGTGCTACTGCTGTTTCTCATTTAGCACAACAGAGGAGTGTCTGAGGAAAAAAAAAACCAAAAAACCTGCATAGTCCAGTAGTCATGGGATAGATGGGAATAGAGATCCTTCGTTAGATGCAATTTGTCATAGTCAGAAACAGTCACTTGGTACTTATTTAATATAAGCTGAAAAATACAGTACACATAAATGATCTAAGGCTTTGATCGAGGTGGGTGGAGGACTGCAGTGAAACTTTCTCAATACTTAACAGCGTCTTTCACTTGCACTTTAAAAATTAGGAGAGATTACTAAAGTCAGTGACCTCTAAAGTGAGAGGAGCCTCTGGTCTTGTTTGTGTATAAATCAGCAATACAAATCCTCAGGATATAAAGTATATTTTCTGTACTTTTGACTTCCTTCAGGTTAATGGACAGTGGAAAGGTCATAGTGCTGGAGGATGTGGAAATTTCAGAGACAGCTACAAAAATAACCCCATTTATCAGTTCCAGCTGGACAAGAATGGGCCATTACTAATTGAACTACGGGGACCGAGGTTTGTAGAGAATAAGCGTGCATCAACACAGCAAGAGTATTACTTCTTCCTCTTAAACTAATTACGATCATAATTCCTTTTCTTTTGTAGTAGAGCTAATATGCAGGATACTAAACCCTTACAGGCTCTCAAATAATGGCCTCTGCAGTAGCTTCAGCTCTGAAAGCGCATTTATGCTGCCACTAGCAGGCCAGGGGAAGTACTGGACGTCAGTGCCCTATAGAGTAGACCTACGCAGGTCAAATTCCTTTGGCAAAATTCATGATCTGCCTCAAAATACCAGTATACAGTGCTTCTAAATAGCAACATCTCATGACATGCAGTCAAGTGTTTTATCTTATCTTTTGCAAAGCTGGACAGTGGGCCCCACAAAATGGCAGCACTTCTTTATCCACCCTCCCTCTTTGAGGAAACTCCTCCTCTCATGAAACGAAGACGAGTGCAAAGGTGTGGCTCTACTGTTCCACTAATTGAGCGGAGGGTTTTTTCTGCACTTGCAGATCATATTTGGGTAGTTTGAATGACAGGGGCAGTGGTGCCTGTCACATGCGTTAACAGGTAGTAGACAAACTGTCCCATGTTACAGTGCAACATGAGAAATTCAGCTGAGATCACTGACAGTGATTCTTCTGACAGCGATCAGATCACACCCCAGGATCTGTGCCATGTGGCACCCGAGTATGTCACCACAAGTTTAACTACTTGAAGTCTGCTTTAGTGCAGAGGCAGGCGTCTAGCAGGCATTTTCCATATAGTCTATAGCCTAGTTCTGAACCTGAAACGTGTTCCGTCTTCCTTCAGATTCTACATTCATGTCGTGGTAAGTTTGACTTAGTGTTTCCATCACAAATGTGACAAAACTTTTAGATGTCTTCCAGTTATACTGTGTAGTTTTTAATGAATAGCCCTCTTCATGGTAATCCTGATGACCCAAATAACTAAAGTAACAGCCTGTCATGTCACTTGCAGGCAATACAGCGTTGGTTTTGAACTCGTCACGGTCTCGACAGTAGGAGATCCTGGCTCCCATGGCTTTCAGAAAAAGAGCAGTGGTGACTACAGGTAATACTCAATGAAGTCTTAGAGGTTTGAGATATACTTCAGATCTTAGTTCTAACAGCTGGTTTTTTTTAATCATAGGTGTGGATTTTGCTACTTGGAAGTGGAGAACATCTTTGCTGGAGTTTACAACATTATCCCCACCACATTCCTGCCTCAGCAAGAGGGTCCTTTTTTCTTAGATTTTAACAGTGCTACTCCTCTTAAGGTATCACAGCTGCAGTGAGGAGACAGATCTGTGCATTACCGTTTAAGGAGGTGGTTTTGATCTGTCCTACAGTCTGAGAACAGGTGAATAACTCTTACTACACGCGTATAAGAAAATTACATTCTAAGTGATAGCCAAAAGCATGGAATCACCGATTGGCCAGTTAATTGTGGTAGACAGTTAGCTGTGGTTTTTGCTGCTATGGTATTGGAGCAAGCACTGTTCAACAGGCTTGTGAACGGGCTAAAATGCTTATATTCAAATGAACTGGCAGAACTCAATTTATCGCAATTTTTTCCACACTTCAAATTGAGGTCTAGTGAGTCAAGAGAAAAAATAACATTGAAATTCTCTTCTCCCAAAATACAGGGTATATGGGTTTAAGATTTTATTCTTAAAAGTAAACATATAAGAAAAAATATTCTTGTGTATTCTGCTTATTCAGTCTCAGGACCAAATAGCTCTTACTACATATTTGTGCTGCTATCTTGAATGTTTTCCACGTTGAACTAGTTCTCGCATCGAAGTGAAAATTTACTGCTGCTGAGCATGTACTATTACTGACTAACATGCTCAGCTTATCTAGAATATGTACATAGGAGTAAAGGAAAAGGAAGATTCCCACTTTAGCTATTTCTAAAAGAAAAGCAACGGCTTCACTCGTGTTACATGTACTTTGAGAGCTGTTATTCCTATCTGTATTACTTTATACATAATATTACAGCACAAGGTACTCTGTGGCTTTCTTCCTACTAGCTGCAAGACCTAGCTTGATCCAGATCAGCAGGAAAATCGGGAGGTTAGCCAGCAACAGCATACAGACAGTGCACAGCACACCCTTCAGTTAGTTAGCAGGTGTGAAAGGCTTTCATCTAAAGCTGCACTGTAAGATTCTCTGTATCTACTGAGGTAGTCTCATTTGCTGGTGCGAGGAGGTAGGGAACTACCCACCGTCAGCATCCCAGCAAAGAAACGTTTTATCCTTGACATTTTTATAAGTATTCAGCTTGTAGGGGAAGGATCATTTAAACCTCTCCCCCTAATAAACCACAGCCGCAAGAAATGCACTTGCTCATCCCATTATACAAGACATCCTTTAACAGGTACCTTTTTCTTCTGAGTTGAAACCAGTGAGTGAATTGAGCGCTTGGCCAGTGCCATCAATAGGAGTAGGGTCAGAGTTCTTAAGAAAATAGTGGAAGTGACACTTCACAAATAAGGTTTTTTTTAGAAGCCTACTATCTGTGCTCTTCCTCCAGAAGACCTATATACATTGTATCTGAAGAGGATTAAAGATAACTAAGTTTTTCATTTAAATACTAACTGCCTCACTGATCCTAAAATGCATTGGTTTTTGTCTTTTTACAAACGGCAGACTTAAAATTCCACAGTATTTGACAGTTGGGGGAGAGGGTGTTTTTAAAACAAGCCATAGGAGGTTCTTTGCCATTCAGGTTGGTTTGGCAGTTTTCCAAGCAAAAAGATAGCATTTAAATCTTATTTTAGAGCACAGGTGCCATTTGGTCATTGGGAAACTGAGCACACATGCTACAGGAGTACCAGAAATATTATCTGTGGGCTAAAATTGTTCCCACAGAAGTCTGCTATTAGCCCTCTCCAGAAAGTACAAGATCCCTTTTGTTTCATTTCCTTCATCAGACAGCTGCTTAACAAATGTCTAGCTTTAAAAGGGCATTGAAAACACACGCCTTTCTGACTGCAGTTCCCTCAAAGACCATCTGGGCTAGGAAATTTGTGACAAGTTTGTCACAGTGTGACTTACCTTCTTTTGCAGGGAAGCTTCTGATGATTATTGCAACAAATCAACACAGGAACAGCATGGGCTCAAGCTGAGCAAAAAACAAGTTAGGTTCTTTGTGGTTATCCTCGGCCTTGGGGAATATGTGCCAAGGACCGCTTCATCCCTACAAAATTAAAATTTCATTCAACTCACATTTTCCCTACAAATCTGTGTTATGTTTTTAGCCCAGGCTAAACCAGAGTGGCAGTGGAGTCTTGCATATATTTTATCACCTGTGAAGTTAGAGGTAGTTAGGAAGTCTCAACTGAGTATATTTTTGACAGTACAAAAGGCAGATGCCAGAACTGCCAGCTTTTAGTACCAAGTTCTTGCACATCCTCGGCTGTTTGAGATCAAGCTGGTAGACTTCCCTACAGTAAAATCTGTAGTTGGTTTCCACTCTGCAGGAAGGTTTTCTCTTTCTCCCCACCCTCCAGCCCAAGCACAAGCTAGTGCCAAAAGCTTATGCTGGATGAAACAAGCGCCAGGCTCAACGTCTATACTGTACTGAACTAAAAGCAAGGAATACTGGACAAAGGCATTAAGGACAAAGGATCCTGTCTCCACCAGGATACACTCACACTACTCACACATACAGCACAGTCAGTGGATTGGGCTCATCCCCATAACTGCACAGGATTTAAGCTTAGTATCAGTGTCCTTTATAAGGCAAGTCCTATTCAAACATTGCACCTACATAGGCTACTAGAATACCATCGCTGTACATTTCCCTTCACACGTTCAGGTGGAATATTTAAAAGAAAATACAGAATCTTCTTAAAAATAAGTCTGCAGATTCTGGTTGTGGCAAAGTAATTTTACAACAAAATTTTCTTGCCCTTTTTTCTTAGGAAAAAAATGTTCATGTAAGCACTTAAGATTTGCTTTGATATTTTCTGTCAGATACATACTTCTATATTTTTTCCACAAATAAATATGGAAAAATTATTGGAGAGTGAAATGATCCTTAGATTATAACACAGCCTCAGACCAATATGTAGGTTAAGCTTTTTTCCCCGCCTACACCATTTAGCATTATTGATGCATAGGACAGAGAATACTAGATGCTGATGTAAGCACAGAAATGTCATGCAGCAAGACTTTCAGAAGACCCATGTGTGCAAAAACTGAAATATCTGCACAACAGCTCGGACTGTAACAAAGGTACATCGGTCATGTTACTTGAGTTCCAGTTAGACAGTCCTGTCTAAGTCTTCTCTGCCTGTAAACATGCAATTCAAGCTTTTAAACATTAAAATACAAAGCCTCATAAAATATACCACCAAGCATCCTGCACTCCTAAGTCGCTTGTCACACACCGTACAGTTCTGAACTACCACCTGAGCTACAGCATGAGGGGGATAACTGACAAAGCGAAAGCCAGTTGCTGTAAGGGGCTTTAAGAGGATTTCCACTTTCTTTGATTCACTAAGGGAAGACTACTGCAAAGAAATGATTTTTAATTCTCTATCATCAGTGGTGCAGAGGGCTAACTGGAGATAGCCTCTTCAGAAGTTTTGACATTCCCCCTACTTACAGACTGCAAAGCCTTTTCTGTGTATTTTTTTTTTTTTTAAATCCTACCTTAAAGCTCCATACAAGACCCCATAATGCTGCTGTTTGTAGCTCAGGGTGAGACACCCCACAGACAAACACACACACACAGAGCCCCCAGTTTGTTTTGTTAGGAAGACACAGGTTAGTCCTTGGTTAATCGGATCGATCCATCAGTTCTCAAGGACTCAGTGAGCGGTAGTGCATGGATGAGTGGTATCAACAGCTTCTATCCCATCTGCCCCGTGAGCCTGAGGTTCAGTCCTAGTTTCCTGATGCAAGTTTCATGTAACTATTTTGTACAGTAATTATGCACTTGACCACACAATCTATGCGGTGTTTGAACAGCCAGCTATTTAGAATTAAGTTTGTGTACATATGGTAGAGATTTTCATCGCTTTGTCAAAAAGGACATTTAAATTGTTTGGTAATACCAAAGAGGAGTAGAATTCCTAGGTTAACAATTGCTTTATACATTCTCACTTCAGGGCAGCTGAAGTGATCACATATACTTTGATACACCAGAGGCTTATTTTTATACCCATGAAGGCAGCTAGCATCATGTTACACTTCAGAATGCAGAAAGAGCTCCTACTGGAGAAAGCTTGTTCATTTGCCTGTACTCCGTAGTGATGTATGTTCATTTAAGTTTGTCATATTTATAATTATGGCTTTTATGAAGTTTAAAATAAATTAATGGAAACCTCATTTTATTAGACACGCAGTTCTGCCTGTTTGCTTGCACATTTGAAGTGTGATTTACCTGCCAAGTCCGGGGGGTCGCCGAAGGAAGGCGGCTGCAGCAAGATCTTTAAACAAATCTTGCAGAAGCGTGGTGTAAAAGTAAGGGTATGGTGGGTCCCTCACCCTTTCGTACTTCCTGATCAATGGTTTTACCCTGCTGGGAGCTGAATCCAATCAGGACATATGCAAGGCAGCGCACGCAACTATTTTTAGATCCTGCTGAACATAAAATTAATTCATTGCCCAAGTGCAGGGAGTTGGGGTTTCCAGTCAGAACTGGCAAGACGAGAGGAAATTTGATAGCAAAAGAGGGTAAAAACCAAACAAAACCAAACCAAAAAAAATACCGAAACAACCCAGGAAAGCGTAATAGGGGTTTGACTGGCAAGTCTGCAAAAATAAGATATTCGACCACAAATACCTCTACTAATTTTTCTAACTGTGCAGCACAGTTAAGTAAAAACATTTAATATAATGTGGCACTTCTGTACTGCTTTTCATTTCGTATTTAATACTGTCAATTCCAGCTTTTCCCCAAGTATTGGTCACATCAGAAGCTGGAACCATTGACTTCCTTCCTAAGCATTTATTGGGCTGGGAAATGCTACCAATGGCAGAGTTCAGCCTTCAGGTCTGTATAAATATTTAAAGCTATTACAGCTTAACGGCTATAACGTGTTGAATCTAGTTTTTATGAAAACAGGTTTCTTTACCTTCAATTCCGCACGGCCTTACAGCAAATTTCAGCAGCATTAAGTACAGAGGTGTTAGGTAACAGAATACCCTCCTCTTTCCTGCGTACTAAGGGATTTTGGAAAACTTGACTAAAGTTCTGGCCTTGCACAGTTCAGAATAAAAAGTGAATCACATATGCAGGGATTCCAGAAGCTGGAAGGAGGTAACAGTTGTCCATGTACTGCAAAGGATTCTAATACCAGAGTGACACCGGGCTGCAGTCTTCGACTGGAAGTGGATATTTAAAGACTAAGCAGGAGAAGATTCTGTTCTTAGCGCTTGAGATAAACTTAGCTTGCACAGACTCGAAATGTGGAAAACAAAAATGTTTACTGTAGTGTGAAGAATTTTACATTAACTTTGAGAATAGATACACAAGCTGTGGCAGGGACGAAATACAACAGGACTGCAAAAACATAGAATAGAAAATACTTTGGGCAATACTAAAATTCCCATCAAATTAACAATCTAAACTGACATCTTCGATAAAACGGTGCTTTCGGAAATGCTTAGCCACCAAAACTGAAGAGTCCTAGGATTTTTACTACCACTTATTAGCATAATTACCAGACACTACTACTGCCTAACAGCTGCTGGCAAAACATGCCCGTGCCCTTTCTAGTTTCATTGAACACTTTCTCTAGGGCATACTAAAATCCCGAGTCCCTTTAACAGTTATAAAACCCCACACAGTACAACCTACGGAGAAGCTTAAGAACACATCGTCAATCTACACTGGCAATTCCTTTTCTTCATGCATATTTCAAGGGTGAATCCCTTATCGTAACTGTCCCGAAACATCTATGACTCCCATTTTTGAGCAAAAAAACACTTAAAGTGCTGAAAAATAATACTTCACTTCTCAGGGGAGGGGAAGGGCAAGGGGCCAGTCGACTCTTTTTGGTCACTGGAATCACCCTCAGAGTCCAAGCCAGACTCAGGAAGGTGGCTAGAAAGGGCCTACCACCACTGAGTGCTGCCATCCCCTTTCTGTCCCTGTCTCTTAACACCAGTTTTTATAGGCGTGACTCATCTTTATTCTTTCTGTGAGCACCAAGGGAAGAGCGAAGGCTTTTAGACCCCACACATGCAACAGCTTTCCTGTATACAAAATATTTCTACAGTTTCAGCATAATACAGACAAATACAGATGTTTAAAGAATATGCCACATACTCAAGAGATCCACTGTATCTAGAGAGCACTTCATTCTACAAAACCGAAGCCAAACCGCTCTCTGCAAACGTCTGGCTTGAATTTCAGACCCCCTACTGGCATGAATTTACACAGGAACGTTACTAGTTATTGCTTCAGCCAGGCTGCTACAAAACAATTTACAAAGTCTGTGAAATGTGAGCACAGCTTAAACATTTGATAACTTGTCTGGCCTGCAAAGGATTTACTGAATAAAAACTTCAGCCCTCCACATCAATTAGACCTCTTAGTGCAGTTTTAAATTCTTAGAGTAAACGCTTAGGATTTGGCATATATTATTGGCACAATGTTCTTCAAACACTTAGAAGTTCATGTATAAATATTTATATTCCCATTAATCAGGACAGGGCACAAGAAGGACTCAGCCAATCTGGGCAGCTTTTCTGCCTGCGCATATTCCCTCTTTGATTTTCATGCACTGAAGGGAGAGCTGCTTCATTCGGTTATCCAGAGCCAGCCCCTCAGTGGAGCTGCTCCTGTTGCTGCTCCTATTCTTGTTCACTCTGTCGCTTGTCTTGTTCTCAGCCCCTTCTGCCCTATCCCCTGCAAAGAAAGGATTAAACTAGATGTTAAACCCGGATTTCATTCTGCAACTTAAGCTTCAAGCGGGTGCCTCTGCAGCTTCCTTTGCCAAAGCGTGCAAAAAAAATATAGGAGCAGGAGCAAGGTGCTTTAACAAAACCGAAGTCGACCTTCAAAGCCGCGCTCGTCTTGTGCACTGCATCAGCAAATTACAGTGTAAACAGCCTTAGGTTGGAGTACACAAGAGCGGTGGTAATCCTCTAGTCTGAATTTGTCAGCAAGGGCTGGCAGAGCCTGCAAGAGGTTCCTTTTGGCACGTTATTTCATTTTTTTTTCCCGGAAAGCAGGATTTTCACCAAGCAGGAGAATAATTTAAAAAAAAAAACAAACCTCAGATTTTCCTTAAACTAAACATACCATCAGAATCCCACCGATCACTTATTTCATGAGAAACCTCAAACCCCTCCACTGAGACAGAACTGGGGAACCTTCCCAGCCAGGAGAAGAATAATTAAAACATTTTAGATGTCATCGTTAACTGTGGGATGCAGGGCCTTCAAGAACTGCCTTCCCCAAGGAAGCGGCCAGCGGGGTCAGAGCTCAGTGAGCTGGCGATATGCCTAGGGGAGCTGAGAAGGTTTTCCTGCTCCCTTTATAAAGCTGAAAAACATTGGCCCAGGGCGTATCCAGCTGTGCGTACCTCTTTCAGCTTCGCACTCAGGGGAGGATGCCCCGCTGCATTCACTTCGGGGGCCAAGGACAGGAAAGATCATTCCGAACTCAGAGAGGGACACAGGGCTGGGCAGATCCAGGCTTCCAGGTCGCGTCACAGGAGGAAACTGAGTGGGCACCTCACAGGGACTCGTAGGACCAGAGCTGAAGCTGGACACTGACTGAGTTTCCGAATCTTCTTCAGATACGAAGCTGCTGCCGTTGTCATCCTCAAACACTTCTGAAGCCACTGCAACGTTCAAAGAATATTCCAGTTAGCAAACCTACCCCCCTCCTGCACCTTCCTGGGCAAAGGCAGTTTCTCAGGTTGGCATCTTCTGTACACGCATGCACTGCTAACCCACGGGCTGCCTCTTCTCGTACTCTGCCCCCTTTGCAAAGCCTTAACACCTGGCATTTCGTACGTGGATCGTGAAGGCCTGATTCCGCTTTGAGGAAGAGCACACCTGCCAGCCATGCCATGCAAGACCAGCTCTACACTAGCTACTGCTCCTCATGCCAAGATGCTCATGGATTTTTACCGTCCCTGCTGCCCCTTGCCCAGCTGGCCTTGTTCACTTGTGGTCTTCGGTACATAACTTAGGCCAGGGCCTAGTCCCCTGTGCCCACCTCAGCCAGCACCATCTTGATCCCAGCACAGACTCCTGGTTATTTAGGGCACTAATTAGAAAGACAGCTCAGGGGCAGATTGCTTCCACCTTATCTTCCCACTTTTGCAGTTAAAATCCAGCACGAACTCCCAAGATCTCTTTTTGGATGAGGATCACCAAGCAACACCAAATTAAAAAAAGCCTCACCCACATGTATCATTTTCCCTGCTCATGTTTGCTCAGATCTGAATTCTAATTAAAGCAAACCAACTCCAAACTGCCTGGCTAGATTAAGCTGCAGGCTCTTTGTTAGCAACAGGAGGAGGAATCCATTAAAGAAGGTTCCATTTTGTGCAACATAGGGGTGTAGATTTTGCTAAAATTCAACATTTTTCAATCTTGGCTCATTGCGGGATGGGGACCTATGAACCAAAGACTTCTGCACACAAGTAGTCCCCCACTGGGATCAGAAGGTTTTCTACGTGCATCAGCCAGCACGCAAAAGCGTGTGCTGGAATCACACTGGTCTGAAGAAGTCCCACAAATAGCAAGACATTTACAGTGACCTGAGGTTATCTTCAGTTATGCCTCCTTGCAATTCCTGCCATTGTTAGAGAGGCTCAGAACCGCCTTGAAAGAGCAGCAGGAGCAAAGCAGCAGCGCTAACGAAATGGCTCAAAGGAGAAGTTTAAAGTAGTTCTTCTGTTACCCCGGCAGCCTGGGGCTCACGTGCACCACTTGGACACGAAGGGTGCCAACAGAGGCAGCTACCGTCATGGTTATTGCAGAGATGTTCAGCCTCTTTCTGCTGTATTTGCAGATTGCAGAGCTGTACTTACACATTGCAGAATTGACCTAAAAGGCTTCAAACATAAAACGGGTAACAGCATTATCCACTTTCCTGAGCCTCCTCTGGGACACTTTGTGCTCAGAAACAGTTTGTTGTGGTTTGGGTTTTGTTTTTAATGATGTCAAATCCAAGACTGCAGAGTGGCCTTTCTTCTCACTTGCTGTATTTTATCAATATACGGTGAACAATACAGATAACTTTGCAGGGGGTAAAAGCAAAAAAAGGTTGGGCAAAAAAAGATGTTTCCAATCACAGGAGTCCTCTACCTGGCAAGAAGCACTAACACCAGCCCGTCTACAAGCACAACCTAAACCGTAGCTTACTTATCACCTCCTAAACTTACCGTAACACACGGGAGCATCTGCTAGGGCCAAGAAACTCTTGCTGATGATGAGGTGTTTTATTCAACTCCAGCAGACAGAAATCAAGATATAAAAGGGCCTTGGTGGAAACCCCACACGTTACAATGCACGAGAGCTTAACCTGTCAAGGCTATTTTGGTTATTATGTCTGGCAGGCTGTTAGTCCTGCCCTGTCATAACCTGGTTCTGCATTGGCACTAGACATGACCTGGAGTCCTTCCACCTATGTCAGACTGTGCAATTCAAAGAGAGGGATGAGCCCGTGCTGCCAGTCCTTGCCTGCTGCCTCACCAGCAGCCAGGAGGGCCAGCAACTGGTTGCTCTGAGTTAACCTTCCTGGCTCTTTCTGCCCCTACATACCAGGCCCCTGAACTCCTTCAGCACAAGAAAACCCTCAACTCAGTTATACCTAAGGCTCTGGGGAGGCCTTCTGTGCGAGGAGGGGGGGCTTGTGGGTATCCAAAGAGGCAATCCCTGCCTAATTCAGAAAGGCTCAGCCTCGGGACTTCAGGGTGGCAGAAGATATGCAGCCATACCGAAACCCCATTGCATCAGCTGGCCCAGACACGGCACTCACTTGCTGTGGCAACTCAGGTCCCAGCTGCACGGTACTGATTGAGAGAGCTCCAGCACATCATGCGAAAACTCCTGCCACTGCAGAGGATGGAGGCCAGCCCAGGGCTGCCTCCCAGCTCCCACGGCACAGACAGGCTGTACCAGGGACCTACAAGGCCTTGGCACCGGCACACACCAGCGCCTACGAGGGAGCTGCACGTTCAGCCTTTGGGCACCAGGGTTGTGTATGAACTCCTGCAATCCTGACCTAGACTTTTCCCTACAGAAATGGAGCTGAAATACAAATTAAACGGGGATTTGTGGGACTGGGCAGCAAAAGATGACTTTCTGTATCAAGAAGAGGAGAAAGTGTCCAGGAGGGAGGAAAAAGTAGGCCATATGCAATGTCCATCTACCCACTTTCACCCAGAGCCAGGACAGAAGCAAACTCACAATACAACAGACTGCTCCAGTCTTTGCAACCCAAGGTTTCCATATGCCACCAGAAAGCAGAGGTTACCTAGGCTTGGAATTTGCTCGGTGGTTGCTGCTGTCACCCAAGAGAAACGTCTCCCATACAGAGCCTCTCAGTACACGGCATTAGCATATTGCTGCTTCTTCGCTTCCCTTGTTCGCAGCACACATGCTCTGCTGAAATCACATATTGGCAAAGATCCCGCAGTGCGAAGGAGCTTATCCTTACACCCCTTCTGTGCGAGCATCACGCCTTTCTGTACTACTGTAGCCGCAACTTTAGTCCCTCTGCCACAGGCCCAGCACTGCAAGACAAGCGCTTGATCCAAAAGGCCCGTTTCCAAACAGCACTGCCACCTCAGCAACCTGGCTGAATGATCTGCAACAGCCTGCGACCACCCCAGGCAAGTCACTGGCAGCAGCATCACTGGCTTAAAAATTGGAAGCATGCTTTGCAGTGCATTAATTTTGTTCCTTTCATACAGCACTGTACAAAAAACAACAGTGATGCTAAGGCATCAGCTGATGCACTTCAACTCATATCCCTTCCCCTTGAAAATTGGCTATTAAAGAATACAATCAACTCCTGTAATAACGAGAAGTGTAACAAGTTAGCCACAGTCCCACAACAGCCAGCAAATTTCAAACTGCAGAATACGCAGAGCAACCTTCATCTCGGCTTTTCTTACGATGCCCATGGGATATGCCCAGACACGGGAGCGCGCTGTACTCACTGGAGATGGTGTCCGACTCCGATTTACTTGCTGACAGGTCTTCCACAGAGGTATTGCTCCCTTCAGCACCCACGCCACATCCTCGGGGCCCCATGGCAGAGGATCGTCTCCTCTCATGAATCTCATCTGAGATCATCTCCAGGTTTTTCAAGGCAGTCTTATACTCTCCCTTTGCCAGGGCCAGTTTTGCCTGCAGGTCATCCACTGTTTTTTTCAGTTGCTAACAAGGAAGACAGGTATTAGATGTGCTTTCATTACAAACGATGCACAGTATGCAGTTCTCCGTTATGCGTCCACGTGACTTGGCTCTGCACAGGCAAGCTAGCATAAACCAGGGTTGGTATCTGGGAGAGTAATTCAAGAGCACCCCAGCGCAAGCAGTGACACTTGTGAAGGAGACAGCAGCAAGGCAAACCACGGGAGCCAGGGGCTGGGACTTGCCTCTGGAGTGTGGTAATGGCCCCTGACTAAGCATAGAGCAGGGGTCCCCCATTAACACGCAGGATCTCTTGTTAACATGAATGCAGCTCTCAACAGCATGTCGCTGCTTATCCCACAACCACCTCTAAGGGTTTGCTGGCAGCCCCTGCCTGCAGGGCACAGCATGGCTGTGGGTCGTCCCTACAGGGGCTAAGCCTCACACTCCTCTGAGCACCAAACCCATCGCTTCTCGGTCACTAAACCTGCAGACCAGAAAGCAGCAAGCCTCAAACCTGTAATACAGCAGTTTCCGCGTCCCCAGGCACAAACCCCACTCTACAGCAAGGACAAAAGTGTTGTACACCCTGTCTCCCAAAGGTAAAACACTGCTTGCGTATCCATAGCTTTCTCAACTCTGTTTTATATTGTACATTAAAAGCAAGCTGTCTTTTGTATTATATTTTACACAATCACCCTGCTTCAGGAGGGCACTGAGCAACGACAGTAATGGAGAAGGCAACAGGCCCCCAAACAGTAGGCCTTTGCCCATGGAGAGAAGGGGATTTCTCAAAAGATGCCTCTAGCCAGAAGGGATTATTGGGCTGGCACCCAGCACAGGACAGGCTAGGGTTCAGCTCCATGCAGCAGCAGCTGCTGACCACAGCTACGCAGGCAGGCAAGACAGAGGAGCAGAGTGCAGCCCAAGCCTGGATCCTGGCAAGGAAAAGGTGCACGCCAGAGTCTCCGAGGCTTATAAAGAGCTGTTGCATCTCAGGCAGCCCAGGGAAAGGCTCACACACACACAAAAAAAAAGCGTGAGACATACCTTGCATCCCAGGCAAGGTATGTCAATCTTCTAGCTAGGCTCCTGCTGACCTAGCACCCCGCTGGAGCCTTCCTGCACCCGTGGCCAACAGTGCAAGGCAATGTGCTCCACTTAGACCCTATGCACATCCCACACACCTACAGCACCCGCCACTACTCTTAAACTCAGAGGAGCCAGGCTCCCAGTTTTTGGGGGGCACGTGCAGCAAAAGTCACTCAAATAGAAAAAGAGCAATTCTTGCATTTGAATTTTTAGTGCGACTTTGTTCTCCCACCCCGGCAGCTCCAAGACTAAGGGCTGTAGTAGCAGGGATTACCATCCCATGCACAACTGCCATGCCCACCCCGGGGCCACTGTGCCCTGCAAGGCATGCACTGTGCCCAAGCACTGGCTAGACATCATTGCACCACACAGAGTGCAGTGCAGAGATGCAAAAAAAAAAAAAAAAGCCCTGGCAGCCTATCCAGCCAAACCCAAAATCCCACTTCTGCCAAACCCAAAATCAGAAATTCACATCTGTGTGATGTTTGATTACTACAAGCAGGTTACTTGTTCTTTTAATTGACCCAACCAGTGAACAGAAAAGAGCACCCCAAGCACAGTTAAACAGTCTGATGCATAAAACATAGCGGGGGAAACAAACCAAGCAAACCCCAGAGACTTCAAACTACAAGAAGTAAAGATGGTCAAACCGTATTTGTTCAGTTCTGGCAGTAAGCAACAGGGTTCAAACACTCTTATTTCACAAGGAAACAAAGCCTCTCAGTCTTTTATCTTTAAAATGTGCTTAGCAAATTGCTCAAGAGGTTTTGAATTGAATTGGTTTTGTACAGAAGCGCAACACAGTTGTCAGAGCACTTTAGATGTAATTTCAGTATTTACCGTAAGCAGTAAAGAGTTTCAGATGGATCTGAATTACATACGTACCTCTAGTTGGACGTAGTACTTTGCCTTGAGTTCAAAATAAGGTCTATGGAAAAACAAAGAACAATTGTTTAAAATCACTGGGACTGAATGCAGAGTACTGGAGTGGGAGTTGCTCTCTTTGTAGCATTAACATAATGAAACAAGTTTCACTGTAATCCCGAGACACTAGTATCTAGATGATAGAACACCTACATGTGCTCTCAATGTCTCTCTTTTCCCCTCTAATATACTTATTTCTCATGGGTCTTTTGACCTAAATACCAATTGCAAAATTCCAGTTTTTGGAGTTGACAGCATAATTCCTTCAGGCCTGGATTCTGCAAGATATTTAAATGCAATGTCCAGCTTCAGGCATAGGCATCCTCTCTGTATCCATCTAATTTTTGAGCCCACAGCACATGTAAATTCCCCACAGAAGGTGAACCTTAGACTTCCCCTTGTTCAGATGTGGAGGCGGAAGGGCAGTTCGTAGGTTTTTCAGTGAAGGAGAGGGGATGAAGGGAGGTCAAAGCACCACATGTGAGGGCACAGCACTTCCCGCCAGTGGCCCACCAGGCACTTCCCTCCCACTGCACGGCTCTCCAACAGTCTGCTTGGACACAGAGGACAGTGTCACACCCAGTCTGTTTCCCACTATAGACAACAAAACTTGCTTATAAAGGTTGCAGGAGGACAGGGGCACAAGAGGTGCAGTACAAAGCCTAGAAACCACATTCCAGCTTTGAAGTTTTGAAGCCCACAAGCCAGTATCATCTGATGTAACACTGGGCAGTAAAAAAAGCCCTGATTTTTTAGCAGGGCTCACTACCCTCCTCACCTCTCAAGAAGCTCAGAAGGAGGAAAGTATGGGAGAGATAAACCATCAGATATGGTTTTATATGAAATAGAATGTTAACTACCCTTATCATATTTCTACCCTGACAGCAAGCCTCTTCTGAGCTGTAAGTCCTACTACAGCTACATTTTGGACTATGCACCAGACCTCAGGAGTGTAAAACTGTGGCTTTCTGATCCTATATGCTTTTAAGGGTTGAATTCACTACACAGTCATACACAAAATAACCGAGTCGCATTTCCCTGAGACTAGGTTATTTCACAGCTTCTATGTTTTTAATCAACCCCCCTACCGTGACTAGGCACGCACAGCCAAGTCTGCAATGTTTCAAGTGACAGTCATCCATCCAGTCAAACTGCACCTCTGCCTTCTCTTGCTGGGACATAACCCTGCCAAAGTCTACACAGATGGACCTGCCAGGCACGGTAAAACATCGCAGCTGGGAGTCTGGATCCAATAGTTAAAGGACTCCTACAGCCGTACCCCAAAGCAATGGGAGGGCAGAGACATTGACAAAATGGTGTTGCAGGGAAACGTGTGCAGGGAAAACAGTGAAACCCGCTCACCTCAAATGACCTGATTCTCTCCCTTCCTTACCCTGGTGCCAACTGGGAGGGAACAACCAGACTTGAATCCTAACCTCCCATCAGCTTCCACAAGTCTGGGCAAAAAGTACCCTTTCCATCAGCAAACAAGCACCTGTGCGTTTGTGTGGTATGAAAAGAATAATATATATATATGCATGTATGTGTGTGTGTATATACGCGTATGTGTATGCACAAATACATACATGCACATATGAGCAGGCATGTTTACAGGTGACAGACAAGAAAGATGCCACCTAAGCCAGGAAAAGGATACCAACAGCCTGACGTGTAGGAGCTCAAACGTAAGCGCTCTTCCTCACTCGCTGCTAACACACAGCCAGGCATCTGATGCCAGCAGAAAGCAATGCACTGGCAGGGTAGGGACTCGCATCTCCTCGGGTCACTTCATTCTCTTATATCCACAACCCTGTAACTATTGAAACCTGGTCCATGACACAGCAGGGCTGGCGAATCATTCACTGATGCAATCGGTGTCCTACATCATCAGTTGTCTAAGTCTATGACATTGCATAGTCAAGCAAAGTGCTTTTTAAGTAGATGACAGAAGAGTGAAAGGCACTTTGCCCAAGTCACCAGAGCAGAAAGTGACTTCCAAAAACCAGCTAACACAGGCAAGTTCATTATCCTACAGTTCAGAGGCACTGAGCCAGAAGATCTGGTGACTGTTAAGAACATGCAGCCATATGCACATTCATAGCTTACAAGCTATGCTTACAAGTAAGCACCCAGAAACAAAATTAGAAGCAAAATCAAAACAAAACAATCCAATAATCATCCACTCATCAACTTTACACGGCAAATCATCTAAATTACTTTCCTCCAGGCTGTCCCAGTCTTACTTTCAAATAGTAACGCTTTAAGCATCTTAATCCAGACTGAAGTGAGGAGCAAAAGCAAATCATTTTTTGCATGGAAAAGAGCAACTCATTCAGCATGTCTACCCACAAGTTTATGGAGAGAAAGGATGGGCAACATGGCCCTGAAAGGCCCAGGCATTACAGCCACCCCTCCTGCACCACCCAGGGAGAAGGGCAGAGCAGTTTGCTGGTGTTAAATCCTTCCTGAAAAGCAGCTAGTAGCCAGTTACACCCTACAATACAAGCAGCCGCAAATTCAGCAGCCTCATTTCCCAGTTTTATGTAGCCACTTGACAGCACTGATGTTTTCAGCTCACTTTCAGTTTTCCTTTATGTGAAAATTGCAATGCCGAGAGATGACTGACCGTTCCAACATCCCTATGTAGTATGACTTCAAATACGTCCACGATAAGCCCGTTTGTGCCATCAGACATCTTCCACTTTAATACTAGGTTAGAATTGGCATTTCTGTACGCCCCTTATTAAAGGATCTCCAAAACACCCTACCCTAGGTGGTTTATGCTGCAGTCAGACCTGCTGTGAGACAAAGGAGTACGTTGGGATCCTTCCACACAAGCGAAAACCAGCTTGTCCTGAGGAGAATGACACAAGACAACACCCCCATGAGAGTAGTTTCAGCATGGAAATGAAGACTTAGAAGGCAAATCACACAAGAGGCAGCTGGGGCATCAGGCTCAGCACCGTCATTGTTATAAAAAGGTATGTAGGACCCCACTGACAACTTATCAGGGTCTTTATTTTAAATCTTATTGTAAGGAAGGAACTCCTAGCAGCCAACCCACTTCTCAGATATTGCTCTTATCCAGAGGAATCTGTCATTTAGTGATCTGACGATGTTTTTCACAGTCCCTGTGCAGTGCTAGACGAACAGCATGCAGCTCATTCTATGAAGCCACGCAGCTACACTGTTTCAGCAAACATGCTTGAATCTTCCTTGAGAAGAGCTAATCTTTTCTTGAATTGAGCAAACACCAATCAAAATAGATTTTTACTTGACCGATTTCACCAAAAAGTCATTTTTAGATGGAGGGATTAAAAGCTAAATACAGCAAGCAGATTGTTTAGACAAGCTACAGTCTGGAAATATAAAGAAAATGACTGTGAAATATAAAGAGGATTAAGAATTGGTTGTAAACAGGGCCAAAATTTTAAACAGGTTCTGAGCAAAAAGCTGTTTCACTGCTCCACAACAGAGCAAAACTGCACATCAAATGCAGACACATTTATTAACAATGCTTGCTGCTTAGCTATGCTCTCTGAAGTGCATTTCCTTCCCCGAGAACAGTTCTTGCACAGCTTTGCTACAGCAGCGTTAGGAAGTAAACAAGTCTGATGTACAGCATGCTACACTGATGCAGTCTCGCACCTTTCAGGTTTCTGTCACTTGCTTTGTTGCTCTCCTAACTAAAAATAAGAACTAAACTGCAAACAATCCTAAGCTGCAAAACATCTACGCACAGAGCTCTGCAGCTCTGTAGGCAGCATCTATGTGAATCCCATGAGCCTGTTTCTCAAGTCACATGCCACCAAAGGGTTCAATGCATTAGAACAAGACCAAGAATATGCCCAGAAAAGGTTTCTTATCCTGCTTAGTTCACCAGTCTATCAAGTCAGGTGCTTCAAAAGACACTTAGAAGGACAACAAATGCAAGGACAAATACCAGTACCAATTGTGCTGTGAGGCTGCTGCACGCAGACAGGAGCCCAAAGGGAGAGGTACAAAGGGCAACACACTTGACACAAGTTTGAAAAACCCCACAGAATCGGTATTTCTGCCAAACAGATTTCACCATTAAACTCGTCTCCAAACATAAAACATACTTTGATTTATTGATGGCTCTTTTCAGCTTCTTCTCCAGTTGTTTCATCCTTCCCATAGCAGCATTGTATTTGGCTGCAGTCTCCTTGTGAACCAACTCACTTCTCGTTTTGGTCTGTTCTGCCTCCATGACCTTCGAGGGGGAAAAAATACGTTGAGTGGCAAGACACAATGATCCATTTCTTATCATTTTAATTAACAGCATCTTCATAATCTCTCCAATCAGCTCATGTCAGGAAAGTGAGGGTATAGAAAAAATTACTTTCAATGAACCTATTTAAAAGTCTTCCCTGAAAGGAGCAGCAATATGTCAGATTTGCAAACACTGTGTTAATTACGACAGAGGTGTTGGAGCTTCTTGCATAGTATCTCTTACAGGAAGTTCAGAAGAGCTTCGAATTTTGGGATCATCCATTTTTTAACCCAGCTAGATATTCAGGAGCAGAGCAGCACTAGCAGAAGTCACCCAGTCAACATTTAACAGCATTGTTTCAGTTCCCTCCTGCTTCTCTCACGAGAGCCTGCCTTTCCCAGCAGGGAGCCAGCGGGCTGCTCAGCCCCTGGCTGCAGTCCCACCACTCTGGAAAGGGCTGAAAACCAACCACAGCGGTGGGAGGACTGAAATGCAGTTCAGCCTGAATCACCAGTCACCAGAAAACAGCGTGTCCAATGACTGCCTGTTTGCAGAAGGCCAGGAAGCTGGCTTTTCTCTTAAAACAGCTGACCAGCCTCAAATCATGGTTTCAACACCGAAAATGCACAGAGGTTCGAGCCCTGAGCTGACGCCCCTATCATGCAGATGGGGGAGGCTACGCTGATGACCAGCCCACTATCCGGGCAGGCGGATGCTTAACGCGCAGCAGTCCCAGGCCCAGCATGTCAGCCGCTCTCCACAGCCAGCCTGGGCCTTCCCCAGCCAGTCAGGCTGCAGCCCTGCACACCAGCTAGCAAATTCTTCGAACAATCGTTTCTTCAGAGCTTTATAAGCAAATGCTCACTGCCGTGGCATTCTGCAGCAATTAGGAGTCTACAAAAGCAACAGGAAAAGTAAATGTCCCTCCATTAGCTGCTCTGCTCGTATCCCATAGTCACGCTTTGCCAGTAATTCTGTCCAGGGTACTTTTATTGTGCAAATTTGAGATGTCAGAGGTGTAAGTCACAAAATTTGTTTTGTTTAATGCATTAGCATTCAAGATCCAGACAGGGAGGTAACAGATTTGTTTAAAGCAAGAGAAGTAGTGACACCTCTCCATTGGTCTGGCAATGAGGAGAAAGCAGGCAGTTTTCAGGCTCCCCCTCTTGCAGCTATGAAGGTATCCATACAAAAAGTGGCAGGACTTGATTTTCTCCAGTACTGGATTTCAAAATGTCTCAAATGTGAAACCAACTGCTCCACAACTTCAAGCAAATTTGCTCCAGCTGGCTCCCACCACCAGAACATGCATCTGAGCTCTCGGATCTAGAGAGAGAGAATATTCAAGATATCTTGATTTTAAATAACCTCACCCACAAAGCTCTAATTTCTTGAAAGTGTCCTAGCCCTCAGGCTGAACTGAACAGGAGAAGGAGCACGGTCAACTTTGACTTGCTTGGAGTGCTGCTCCTCTCAGGAAAAATGTCGTGTTGTCCTTTGATGCCTAAATGAAAGCGTGAAACTGCTACATGCCAAAGCTGAACTGCATGAGCATCAACTAGAAGCTCTTGCTGCCACAACTGGAGGCCACATTTTGCTCATCTGCACACACCATTTATTATTAAACAAAGAAGTTGCTACAGAACTTTAAACTATGAGAAAGAAAGGTTTCCAAAGGCTCTTTTGATTAGATATAAAATGATATACTCAACACCAACACCCTTCAACTATTTTATGTATAAATAAGGCATCCACTTTCAAAGAAAGGTCAAAAAAAAAAAAAAAATCTATCAGATTCATAACAGGCTCTGTCCTGCATCCTGAGAACAAGTTGCAGCCTCTTATCTTGAACAACTGTTTGAAAGCTAGGTTGATGCGATGACTTTCCCTAGTGAAATATGTCAGACAAGGCTGGTTTTAGCATGGAAGTGTCTTAAATTAAAATGCAGGCTCCAAAGACTGCACAGAAGCTGGTTCGCCTTCTTTGTAGTGTGGCAAGGAAACTGCAATTTAAAAATGCTGGAAGCTACAAAATAATGGAGCGGCTGGCATTTGCCAATGCTCAATTAAATGTCAATCCCTAACATCCATTCTTGGGGCAAAATTAGCATCAACTTTGATATCTGGGATGAATCACATGATAAGTACTACCAGCATCAGGGTCATAAAGCAGGTTAGGTGTCCAGTATCATGTTGATTTTGCACATCTTTCATATCAAACATCACAGAAATGCTGAACCTTGCAGAACTGGGATTTGAGGATGACAGATCGTAAACACCTCAAAATATCTGATAAAATATGGAATTTGCTGCCAGCCATATATACCCACGTTCATTACCCTTTCCAGAAAGAAAAAAAAAGGCTGCATACTTCATCCTTTTGAGAAATCAGTGATGTAAGGAAAACCATCTCCCCCCACTCCCTTATTTTCCTATGGGCATTCCATCATCATGTTCACATTACCTGCACAAGTCTGCAGAGAGGCCAGAGGCAGCCTGTCCGCTTCCCCTGGGACAGTGGCTCAAGGTGCACACCCAAGGCTCAGGACAATACCAGGAAGATTGTGAGGTACCTCTGTGGAGATCCATCACTTGCCAAGATGCATTTAAGCATTTCATTCAGACAAGAAGAAACAAAAAGATCATCCACCCCCCCCAAAAGCCAAACGGCCTTTAAATAGAGAAACTGTCCATCAGGACAGGTGGACAGAAACAGACTGCAAACCATGCTGCCACCTCTACGTCTGGGAGGTTTGATATAAGACCAGCTAGGGAAACCTCTCACCTTTTAAAAAGGTCTTAGAAAATGACCAACAAGGCTTGTGGGGGAAAGAAGTACTTTTTTATCAGACCTAATAATACAGTTGGGGAAAAAGCAGTCTTATATGGACCTGTAAACAAGCTTTTGGTCACAGTTACCGAATAAGCTGTTTTGTCTAATAAAAGTCACTGTGCTTCTACCACCAACCTTGCCTTGTTGATGCTCCTAAGCCATCGCAGATGCAACAGCATCACTTAGAAAAAGGCAGAGATAAAAGTGAGGATGACACCTCTTCAAATTAAGACTGCTCAAGACACACCTCTCCTCCTTACATCGTACCTGCTATTCATACCCTTGGGTCAAGCAGGGGATGTACTCTTACACAAAAACATCCAAGGTGGGTGAATTTCTAGGATGCCCACACGTTCACTGGACATTTCTGTAGCCCACACCTGCCCTTATTTACTAGATCACCTATTCCAGGCAGAATCATTCTCCCAGGTAGCACAGGCTACAAGATACAAATATTGGAAAACAAAACAAAAAACCCAACACTGGTATCAATCAATTCCTCTTCTCTCCTTCCCTACCCTCTATTTCCAATCCAGATTGATAATATTTACCCTCTATTTCCAATCCAACTTAAATGCCCCTATGCAAACGCACGTAGCATGGGGAATAAACAAGAGGAGTTAGAGACGTGCGCACGCCTGCAGGGCTACGACCTTATTGGCATCACGGAGACGTGGTGGGATGGCTCCTATGACTGGAGTGTTGGGATGGAGGGATACAGGCTCTTTAGGAAGGACAGGCAGGGGAGGTGAGGAGGGGGTATCACCCTCTATGTCAATGACCAGCCGGAGTGCATGGAGCTCTGCCTGGGGATGGATGAGAAGCCGACCGAGAGCTTGTGGGTCAGGATTAAAGGGAAGGCAGGGACAGGTGACATTATGGTGGGGGGCTACCCCAGGCCCCCCGGCCCCGAAGACCAAGCAGATGAGGGCCTCTATAGACGGATAGGAGCAGCCTCAAGGGTGCTTGCTCCTCAAGGAGCAAGCCCTCAAGGAGGGCTCACAAGCCCTGGTCCTCATGGGGGACTTCAACCATCCCGACATCTGTTGGAGGGACAACAAAGCAGGGCATAAGCAATCCGAGAGGTTCCTGGAATGCGTCGATG